GCAGTGGACTGTTGGAGATCGTCAGTTGGCTGTACTAAGCTGTAGAGTGTGGTGTCGTCTGCAAAGCTGCTCAACTGCGTTCCTGGAGTTAAACATTGCTCAATGTCACAGGTGTCTAGAAGGAAGAGGCTGGGTCCTAGGATGCTGCCTTGGGGGACACCAGCCTGGATAGGTTGAGCATCTGACGTCTGGCCTCCAACCACAACGCGGAATCGGGATGTTTCGGTTGGTGAGGTAGGCCTGTAGCCATACAAGCAGGCGTCCGTCGACGCCGGCCTGCTTCGCTTTGTACAGCACTCCTGTGTGCGATACCCGGTCAAACGCACCGGCAACATCCACAGGCGTGCAGTCACATCTACCGTCATTTCACCACATGTGTTTCTACGACCATTTCTCTAGGTTCCTTCAGCTATCACTTCAGGATATACACACGAGATGTCCCTTTGGTTTCTTCACCTGTGCCAAGTGTACAATTTGCAGATGACATAGCCCTGTACCCAAGTATCAGTATAGTTTAGTTTAAATATCTCTTATTATTATTTTTTCTCACCCCACACCCCTCTACTCTGTTATCGGCCCTCTTAAGAGTTGTGTTCATCACTGTTGAGTAGGCACCGGTGGATTATGCTCGCGAAATCGAGGAATTATGCTTTCATGGATTCTCGCATTATGCTCGTAAAATCCTCATACAGTCGTCCCTCTCTAATCCGGCACCTTTTGCTACGGCATTTTCTGCTGGATTAACGAGGGTGCTAGATTAGGAAATCCTGCCCTCTGACTAGGCCTTGACGGATTATGCTAGCATAATATTTCGCATAATTCCTTCCAAAATCGAATAATCGCATAATTCGAGGCAAATTGCATACGAATCGCATAAAATTGGAATAATCCGCCTGTTCGCATCAAATTCCATACAGTTGTACATGTTCTACAAGTACAAGTACAAGTAGATGCACTAGGAAGTTATAGGTTTACGACTCCCTTGATAACATGTCCTGTCCACTACAATCAGTGATGGTCGTAGCTAGGTCGGACGGTGCGTTGACCCCGTTGAACTTTTGCTACTACAGTACAACGCCCTCTACAAAAAAATTCCCCTGTTATTTTGCACAGAACCATTATGCATTAGCAGCATATGTGAGCATAATGCAGCATAATGATAACTTTTAGCATAAAAAATAGCATAATTCTGCAATTTTTTCAGCAATGCGAAAAGCATAATTTCACGAAAATATTAGCATAATCCGTCAAGGCCTACCTCTGACCCGGCCCTACCCAATTGCATGCATGTAGCATACGTCAAAACGCAGGGTTTTTCCGTGTCGACCCCAGTATTTGGTGCACGGCTTTATATTCTCAACTTTTCTCCCGGAATATACACAGTGATAAAGTAAAACAGAGAACATGTTCACCTGTATACGTACTCTTGCACACACACGCACAGTCGATTTACGACTGCCGGATTAGGAAATCAAACTACATGTACGTGCAGTTTGAGCGATTCGTTTCAAAAAGTCACTGCCGGAGGCGGAATTCAAGTGCCGGATTAAGATGTAGGAATTGAACGAAAAAATCGGTTTCGTCAGAAAGTGCGCCGGTTGGCAAGGGTTCCGGATAAACAAGTGCAGGATTAGAGAGGGACGACTGTATTATCCTTTGGCACCCGGGGATATATATTCACTTTGTTGTACTTATGGAGCCTCAAAGTTAGGGAAATTGTGCCTTTTTCCGTACTTGCAAGTTGCAAGTGGCCATAAGTACAAGAAAATACATGTACATGAGTATCCCCATACCAAGGTGTCCATGCATGTAAGAGGTCAACATGGAAAAGAGAAAACAATACTTCTTCTATTCATTACTTGATTTCTTTTGTACTTCAGTAAAAATATTATTTCATTGCCAAATTAGTTTGAGTTACCTTTGACAATTATCATGTTCAACTGTCTTCGTAATCATCATACTCGTCCATCCGATGTCACCCTGGGCCTCACCCTGCGAATAATCAGCTCATCTCTCCCTAGCTCCACGTCTCCTTCCATCATGACCGAACATCAACTATACATCAATTTAGAGCAATATCCGTAGCCTGCAGTCAAATCATGGCTGCTAAAATCCAGACTGGTCATGACTTCGTAACATTCATAATGTACATGTACATGTACATGTAAACGGAGTTTTGCGGACTACCCGCCACTACATGTATCTCGTCCGCCCCGGGATACCTGATGAAGGCTGATTCACTCGCATCTTCTGCTACATCATGTAGACTACTGCGTCAGTGTGAGGAAGAACTTTGAAGAAGACGAGTTCGAGCATACAATAATGTATTGCCATGATTTCTACCCTGCTTTTCATTGAAAACACTATCTGCATGACCTCCAAACCCTTTGCCATGCAGACCACCAGCACTGATCAGGTGCAGTGTACACAATTGTATAGCCTACATACTAGAACTGTGGTATAATCGTGTAGTTATGCTCCTACCTCCGAGAGGATGCCAAATTATGCACCAAATTTTCAACCATCAAATTATGCCAATAATTATGCAGGCATAATCCGCCGATGCCTACTGTTGAGGCTTCCGATGGAAAATACAAGAATACTACTACTACTACTACGACTCCCAGGCCTCAGCGGCGGAAGCGTCCAGAACCCTCATCACAGTGGCAACTGCTCTGGCCGGTTGGCTGAAGTCCCGAGGCCTCATCTTGAACGCCACCAAGAGCCAGGTTCTGACTATCTTTCCCCAGCAGCATGTACAGGAAGTAACAGTCAAAAGCGGCGACTGTCTCCTCCCCTCAGCGTCTTCTGCGCGCTACCTCGGCGTTCACCTTGACAATCGCCTAGATTGGGACACCCATGTAAACTATGTGGTCACCAAGGTTGCCAAGAAAATTGGCGCCTTGTGGCGGGCACGCCGAAGCCTATCAAGACGCTCTCGTCAGGTGTATGTGAAGGCGGTCATAATGCCCGACCTGCTTTTTTAAATTATGGCTCCTGCTGCTTTTCAGCCGCAATGCGAGAGGGTCAACTGAAACGACTGCAAACCGCGCAAAACAGAGCCATCCGCTGTATCGATCGCAACCCGCCCCGGACAGCCATGCAGCCGCTGCTCACTGCTCACTCCCTGTACCGTGTCAGCGAGCTCTACAGGCAGAACATATTGATCACCATCTGGCGGTGCATCCACGCGCGCCCGCACCAGCCCTGTGCTCGCCCAGCTTCTGACCCCGGCACAAGGCACCCCTACCCGCCATCAGCAGTCAAAATGGCCTACTAAGCCAGGCAAACCGTAGCCGCCGCGGTCAGCGGAGATTTTCTGTTGCTGGTGCTCTGCTGTGGAACGCTCTCCCTGGTGAGGTCCGCACAATTACCCGGCTACCTGAGTTTAAGCATGCATGCATGTGTACCATACGCCTGTAGGGAGTAGTTCGAGTTGCTGCTGATCGCTCTGCTCTCCCTCCCCGTGCAGTTCAGTAATCCTCACGTAGTATCACAGATACATCGTATTCTCTCTCTCCCCCCGTTTACTCGCAGTTATTAGTATCCTATTCTCTTACTATGTGCTTCCATAGCTTTTACTATGTTCTTCCATAGCCACTTCTAGGCTAAGCCTTCGCCGTCATTTTATTGGGTCGTCATCCCGTTTGAATGTGCGAAGTGAAATAAAAAACCAACCAACCAACCAACTCATGTCAATCAATACTTATCATTCTAATCTTTCATTTGGCTCCAGTCCTCCACTGCCCGATAGGGTCCGGCGGATTCTGCCGGCAGAACATTTGGCAGAATTCGGTACTTTTTCTGGTAAGGTTCATGCATGTTTGGTATGTGGATAAAGAAGTGGAGCAGAATTCGAGGAATTGCCCGCCATAAAGTTTGTACATGTATGGTTCTGCCAATTTCACTGCTTTTCGAGCAGAATCCGCCGGTCCCTACTGCCCGATGTCAACAACGAGCTCTGTGGGACCGAAACTAAACAGCTGTCTGGAAGAGTGGAAGGTACAGCTTATCAAAATCTCAAAGGATTTCTTCTCGTGTTGACGTACAAGACCCCTTGCTGAGAGCGCATGGCGGAGTGGAGTGGTAGTGCCATTAGCGAACAGACTGATATCTTGGTCATGGTCCCCATACCCCCGACCATAGATACTGGTAATGGTATGTGCAACATGCGTCATCATTATTCAGAATACAGCTGATGGAGATGATGGCGGCTACGGAAGTAATGGAACTCCCATGGAAGAGGAACGGCCGCCAGTAACGGCTAAGACCGCCGCGTCTCGCAGACGTCCAGCCCTGCAAAAACAAACGCGCCCAACAATCCCTGGGCCTTGCTTCCAGCTGTATATCCTTTCATGTTGTACAAAGACGGCGATTTCTCACCACTCGAAGACCGTTTATGGTCGCGATTATTATCTGATACACGCATGCTCTCATCATGCGACGTCGTTCAGCAGATACCAGACAAGTACGTGGTTACAGTACATATCCCTCCTACGGAGACGTGAATCAGCATCCGCACACGCAAAGACAAACAAGGAAGAAAAAACCGTCTGCAAGCCTGCGGAAAGCTGGGGTCGAATGACAGTTCCGCTCGCGTCATGTCACGTCAAGCTAGCTTCGAAGAGACGGACCAGACGGTAGACCGGTGTAAAAGTCTCAAGTCGTAGCTCTACGAGTAAAAAAGTCGTTCATGAAAACCAGCACTGACTCAGTGACTGTGCACGGCCGGCCACAGTTACAGGTAGGTCTACAGCCAGGTGCTGCTATGGTCCGGATCATAATCAGAGTGCTGGGTGGAGTAACTGTTGCGTGATCATGCAGCGCATCATGTCGTGTGTTGCTGTACTGCATGCACTGCACTGCAGGATCGATAGCGGGAGTCCGCGGGACATAATAATAATGATTGTAGATATGATCTACCAGACAGCAGACGCGGGGTGCAACCGGTGTCACGCATGTCACATGTGGTGGTGTGAACTGTGACGACCTCTCTGTCGAGTCCTGACGCTTGTTCCGACGGAATGGATATCGTCGCATATCGCTTGTCACACAAAACTGACCTGCAACTCACTCACTCACTGCCAGTGCTAGCGAAAAAGTGCTTGGCGAGTTTTGCTGCATACCGCTGATATGGAAACGGAAGAAAGCGGAGCGAGAAGGACGCTCAGGAAAGAGGCCAGGTGCAGTGTTTGTAGTTGAGCTGCTGCTATCTGATCTCCATCACCGGCCAAATGGTCAACGCATAGTCTGTGGAATGCTTCCGTCTAGCTTGAACTGATAGCAGTATCTGACATATTCACCGTGCCTGATTTTGTCACTGCAGCGCACATTTCCCGCGAAGGACTACGTTTTTGACGTATACCCTGACTGCCCGCTAGTGGCTTGTGCTTTGAGTTTGTGAGCCGCAAACCTCTCGGGACGGCTGAACACTTCGCGCGCCACTGGGCGGTTGGCGCAGCGACATGGCCACGGTCACTCGCCGAGTGGTGGAGAGCGACGGGCACCGAAAGGTTGAAGAGGTGCCGGCTGATAACCTTGTGAGCCGCATGGCGAAAAGCTGGCCACCCAAGTCTCCGTCAGGACAGCGTAAGAACGCAGTGATGCCCAAAGCCAAGCCTTTGGTGGCCGTGAAGTCCGAGCTCGTGAAGAAGATGTCGGTAAGGCAACGGTTATTTTAGTCGGGGTTGTCGGACACACGCGGAGACTCGGGGAATAATCTTGCGTCCGTGTCTAGGTATTTCAGTTCCACTGTGTAAGTGTGTTTAGCTTTGCTTCTCACGCGGCAGTTGCTGCACTGCATTGTGTGTTCACATGTTTGCGGATTTTCCTGCCTGCATACATGTACGGAAGGGTGCATGTCGCCGCTACATCAGTAGTGACTGCAAGAAGCAGAAAAATCCTTGAAAAAGCAAGTACTAGTCCACATGTAGCTGCAAAATGTCCGTAGTGAAAATAGCCCTATGCATATTATTGCGTGCACATTTCAGCAGGCATGATGTCACACCGTGGAAAATTGGAAATGTAAACATATCTAGTGACAGGGTAAACCTCTCTGCACTCTGCACTCTGCACTCTTGATTCTTGACTCATTGGCATTAGTAAAGAAGTAAGTTAGTTCGCTTTCCTTTCCAAAGCTGCTCCGGGCGTGGTGCAATAGCATAGATAAATATAACAGTCAATTAGAAGTTGAACAAAATACGCGAGGCAGTGAGGACAGGGATGTACAGATTGAAACATCAACGCCTTGTTTCGGAGAGGTTTCATTCCATTCGGAAGTCTGAGCCTATAAACGTCGCTTGTGCTCAACTTGTGAGGGCAACTTTAGTGTCAAGTTGCCGGCCACATGGCTAGCTTGCTTCAGAGCAGAGAGCATTGAACCATGGATACACCTGTAATATGCATATGCCCCTGTGTTTGACAGCTACGGTCTTGGGCACTGGAACGTCTGACCTTGCTCACCAGTGATATGGTGTATTGCAGTGCAGTAGTATTGCGATACAAATTGCCGGTACGCTAAAATTCCTTGAAACTGTCCCCGTAGAGTAGGAGCAAAGAGAATAACAACCTCACCCAACCGTCCCGCACCATACAGGAGGAATGTCCTTACTGTAATTCACACAAATTTTTGGCCCATTCAAATTTCGGCCTCTCGGGGCTAAAACCCATTTCGGCCGCATCAAATTTTCGGCATGTACTGCTACCGCCTGTATACACTGTCACACTGAGCCTTGCAAAACCAAAATCTCGACCGCAACACATTTTCTGCCAAACATAACCAGGCCGAAAATAAATGTGCACCGAATATTTGTTGACTTACGGTATTATAATGATCTAAATTTGTTAGAGGCACAGAAATGTGTTTCACTTTCACCTCGCCGTGAGCTTCGCCGAAAACGGGGGACCAGAGTTTGGTCACAGGCAATGCTGTTAGATTGTTCTACAATGCTGCGCAATTTTTACGGGAATCATGAGTTTCGAAGTCTGGGAAAGATTTTGAACCGTCACTGTTTGGATGACAGCTACACCATAGCTCAGTGGTTAGAGCTTCGCTGGCCTGTAGCAAAGGTCCCTGATTTGAGTTCAGGTGGTGACAGTTTTCTTTAGACGTTTCCCTTTTCAGTCCCTCAGACTTATGAATACCGGAAAATGAAATCTGACTTCATGAATACGTGATAGGGCAGTGCTCCGGTGTACATGTATAGCCCATTCTAACACTGGAGTTGAGCTCCTCGCTGAACCAACTTCCAAGGCTGGATTTCAGTGAGCAATACTGCACTGTGTGCAGCGGGTCCAGGTGAAATCCAGCCCTTGTGCATGCCATGACCCAGCGCCAGGGGTTGGATTTCAACTTGCACAGGTGAAATCCAACCCCTTGTGAAATCCAACCCCTTGTGCATAGCTCGAACCAGTTGCAGTAGTTGGATTTCACCCGCCGCATGTAGCACATACTATGCGGTGTTACCAGGTGAAATCCAACCCTGTGCATGGCCCCACCCAGGGCCAAGGGTTGGATTTCAACTTGCACGTACTATGCGGTATCTCCAGGTGAAATCCATCCCCTTTGTATGGCCCGACCCAGAGCCAGGTGTTGGATTTCATCGGGAAAGCACCGTGCTGTAGTAATGGGTAAAATTCGCTCCAGCGGCTTGGCACCTGCTCAGTTCCTGAAGTTGGATTTCATCTCGCATCACCGTACATGTATATTCCTTCAAGAAGCAGCTTGCCAGTGGTACTTTACTACTTGCATGTTGATTCAACTTGACTGCACAGTACCTCCTCAGGGATGTAGGAAGTACCTGTGCATGCATGTCCACACACCTGGGACCATTACTTGAACAACAAGGACAATAATTACGCATCTTGCACCACTTTTTGAAATGTGGTGCAGCTCTTTGACCATGCAAGATGGCCAAGATAGCCCCAAGACACTAGATAGCGGCATCATACATGTAGCTGTTTGCTAATGTGGTGTGGTGTCCGTCAGTGTTGGACCTCCTCTGGCCAAACCAGGTGGGGTCAAGACGGCTGTCATTAGTGCAGACACACATTGAGTATCAAGAGCATTCCGTATGTTAGCCCTGGACCGTGGATGTATCATGCACAGGGAGTGCTGGTGGATAAGAGCTGGCTGATTGTTTCTTGAACAAGAGGAATGGTGCAGAACTGAAACTGAAAAATGCATTTAAACAATACAATTCCAGTCAGACCTCGCTCATCCGGTCCTCTTTTAACCGGATCCCTCGCAATCCGGAAGAAAACAGCTGGTTACAGATTTACAACATGCGTAATGCATACAACATAAACGGTGTTCGGTTATCCGGTTCCCTCGCCTATCCGGATATTTGTTGTGGAAAACGGATGTGTGCGGTTAAGCGAAGTCTGACTGTATTGAGTTAGGAGCTGGTGTAGTAAGGAGTGTGTCTTTACCTCTGCACTGTTCTACTTTAAAATGCAGCTACAGTGGAATTGAAATATAACCAGTTGCCTGAATTAACATAGAACTGATCTCAGCCATGCATGCATCTGGAGAAATGCGTGTGTGTGTGTGTGTGTGTGTGTGTTTGTGAGTGTTTGTGGTTTTGTGTATGTGTGTATGTGTGGTGTTAGGGGTGTCGGACATGGTACGGTCACTACGCGTATCCGGTATTGACCACACCAATATTTGCCCCAAGTACCCTGTGAATCGATAAAATGCACTGATTTGGGCTCTAAATCTCTACCCTCCCTCCCCCCCCCCCCCCCCTGAGTAAATTGTACTTCAGATGGCTGACCGTACCACACTAAATTACCTTCCGACACCCCTGGGTGTGTACAGTATGTATGTGAGTGTGTGACGATACTATAGCAATTTACAAAATAGCAACTGGTCAATTTGAAACGGGCATACATGCACAGCAGACATACATGTATGTGTTCTTAACACTGCATAGCCAAGCTAGCGCAAGTGGACAAATACATACACACATCCTATGTATGCGAACAATACTACATTTCCCCAGAACATGTAGATGCCAGAAATTAATAGCGGTAGGCTTTGGAGTGAAATTGGCCCATAAAGCCATCACCAACTGATCTCCAGCTGTCTAGCCACTGCAGGCGACATCATGTATGTGGATGATCTGTGCAATGTCATGTTGTCACAGGGTGAGATTGGGACTCGCAACACTGAACAGCCGCGTGCAAGAGCCAAGACGTCCGTCGAGAAACCATCAAGGATCTCCCACTTAGATAAACCTGCCCGCACCACCCAGCCTGAGATTGAAGAGCCAGCGAGGAAACCCACGTTGCCTAAGAAACCAGCGGCAGCCTCTGAAAGTCCCGACATGCCAGCAAAGCAACCAGACACCAGCAGTCCGCCGCCTCGGCTCACTATCGACCCGGAGCAAGTAGCGCGCGCTGCCCGTGAGCGCATACACCGCCGCTCCACCGAACCAAACGACACACTCGCCAAGAAAGTTTCCGCCCTTGCGGACCCATCCGGTGAACTTGGAGCAAACACCCCGCCGCGCTCTACAGGCAATAGTCCCAGGGCTCCTTTGGGCCACTCTTCGTCAATGATCAGCAGCTCATCAGGGGACAGCAAGTCCAACGCACCATCACCCTTGCCGGGTCACCGTAGCCTGGTCGGTCGCTTTCGCCGCTGTCCCGTTCTGGACGTGGATCTGGGCTCACCGCCAGCGGTTCCAAGACAGTCCAAGCCTAGCCTACCCGATCCACCAGCACAGTAAGTACAAGTTACTGTACTGTTGTGTGTGTGCTATGCATTGTGCACAGCTTCCATTGGTTACCTTCAGTAGTTAGTTGTAGCACCTAGGGAAAAAGCACCATACCATAGGTTAGTACCGGAAACAATGTCTGTTTGGAATCGGTATTTCTAAGCTCTCCGTCATCCGTGGTCTATGCAACATGCAATCTCGACCCGATGTCCCTAACGCAACATGCAATCTTGACCCGATGTCCCCAACGCAACATGCAATCTTGACCCGATGTTCCCAACGCAACATGCAATCTTGACCCGATGTCCCCAACGCAACATGCAATCTTGACCCGATGTTCCCAACGCAACATGCAATCTCGACTCGATGTCCCTAACGCAGCCCAGACCCACTATGCCATACATGTGTGCATGTACAAATTGGCTCTGGCCCAAGCTCTACTGAAACGGGTGGCCCGGGAGTGAAACCCACATTGCGTCACATTCCACTCGCCCATTATGATGTCGTCTTCCAAGATCCTACATCTAGTCTCCCGGATTACCCTCATTACAGTTCATTCTCCACCACCCATTCAGACATGTATTGAGAGAGACCACCTGTATTGAGAGACATCCTGTCTTGTGAGACCAGTCTGTTCAGGTGCCTAATAATGCTGCAGCACACATTTGAACCTACTGTAGCGGACAAGGAAATCCAGTCGATTGACGGGGGCCGGCGCCCTCAGCGCGTACAGAACGCTGTATGCAACTAACTTACTTACTTGTTGATCCGATGCGACCAGCGGGCAGCAGCGCATAAATACATGTGTGTACTGCATGGCCAGGGCTACATGGCCAGCGCCCTGGGGCGGCTAGACGAGCGACCGGATTTTTATGTCTACAACAGTACATGAGAGACCACCACCTGTTTTGAGAGACCAGTCTGTTCAGGTGCCTGATAATACTTCAGCGCACATTTGAACCTACATGAGAGACCACCACCAGTTTTGAGAGACCACCACCTGTCTCGAGAGACCGCTTGAAAGACAGTGCAACTGTATTGCACAAGGCCTGTCCTACTTGGCATACATTCATGCTTAGCACATGGTGGTGTACAATGTCATGTAGGCAAGTAGGCAAGGTGACTGTATAAAATTCACCCTGACCTCCTGTGCATTGGCGATAAGTATAACAGTTCACTGTGTTCTTGGCCTGCCCTGTGCATGTGCAGTCTTCATGTCATTGTGCCTTGCTCAAGCAGTGTTGGTGCCATGTCATTCTGTGTCCTGTGCCTGCGCAGTCTTCATGTGGTTGTGCCTTGCCCAAGCAGCAGTATTGGTGCCATGTCATCGGCCGCAGAGGATGTCGAGATCTACGAGGACCTGGAGGTGGTGACCGCTGGAATGGCTAATCTCCAGAATGACTACGTGTGAGAACTATGGCTGTTGTGCTCTTGCGGGTTATTTTTGGCATATCCGCCCATGCCAATTGTTCGTCAGGGGCGGATCCGGAGGGGGGGGGGGGGGGATCCAGGGGGAATTCCGGGGGTTCCGCGGCATTCCCGAAATTTCGCAAATGTACTACCGGAAACCATACTGCATGTACATGTACCGTATAAAGTCCGCTGCAAACGCCCACCCCATTTTTGCAAGATCTGCTGGCCTGTACACACTGACCCCATGCACTGTCACCTCTACTGTACGAAAGTGCGTCTCATACCGTAGCGGGAAGAGCGCTTGGCTACGGTAAACTATGTCCATTTTCCTGGTTTCAAAATCTCTTTGGGCACTAGCTACGAGCTAGCTCGTAGTGATTTTATGATGATGGTTGCTTTATTTCGCAAATCCAAATGGGGGTTTCTTCCGAATACTGTAACAAGGTAGCGAAGAACAGAGTATTGCAGGAACCAAATACACTTCTGATCATTTCCAAATCACGCATCGCTCAAAGGCAAGGGTTTTTCTCGAGCACTTCAGAGTTTTCAGCAAGTTAGCAGCAACTTTGTAGGTGTAGCTTGTACTAGCTTCTGTGACATGCCCTGTTCGACTTGCAACTGCAATACCGTGAGCGGTCAAGTCGTTGAATGACGCTTCTTCAGAACAATCCCTGTGTAATTCGTATCTCTTGAGTTATCTTCTTTCTTTTGAATTATCTTCTTTCTTATACATGTATGTCTACTACTTTTCTTTTGTTGATTTGGCCGTGGTTGCCTATCACCCCTCTCTCATTCAATATTGGCATTCTGCGGCTTGCCACGAGATGATGATGCAATAAATAAATAAATGATCACAGTTCCGTTCTGCAAGTGCCACATAGTGGCATTGCTGAAATTTCATGAAAACCAGATGGATCCTACGGCATTACCACATGGAGAGCAGCCTACCACAAAGACGACTCATTTATCGAATGAAAGGAAATCTCGACAGAAGTTTTTCTTTGCATCACGTTGATGACAATCGCTTTTGCAGAGCCTCCTGGTAAGACATAGGCAGTTTGTAGGCATTACAGCCGTTTTTGTACGCATTCAACCTTCATGCCAGTTTTCTACAACTATAATTATTGACTTGAAAAAGACGAAAATAGTATGGACTCGCTGGGGTGGGCGTTTGCAGCGAAGTGGGCGTTTGCAGCGGACTTTACGGTACATGTATGAGCTATTCAGTTTTGGCTAAACTGGAACCCCCTGCAGAGATCTCTGGATTCGCCCCTGTTTGTCCTACTGTTTAATTTCAGTAGGACGAAACAATCGGCATGGGCAGATACTAGTGGTGCTCCAGTATGCTATTCACTTGTATTGGGCCTTGCAGTGGAGTTGTATGTGTATGCCGAGTGAATTCGAAGCAAATGGTTGCAGGTTCCAACCTTGTGCAAGCATATTATTGGATGGCATCACACATTCACCGGTGTGCCAGTTGTCACTTCATGCAGAGCTTATACAATGATGCCATTCTAAACTCTCTGTGCAATGCCGCTTCTGTTTGGTTTCTCTTAGCTTCGGCAACTCGGCTGATGCTGAAGACGATGAAGAAGTGTATGATTTACCGGATCAGACTAATGGGCTCACCAGTAGTAGATCAAGGGTAAGGCTGCAACCTGTTAGAGATTACAGTGACCTAAGAGTACCGTATTTAAGCTAGGGAGGAAACCAACCTCAAACTTTGCTGACTGAAGCTTTCTTAACTACTGAATAGAAATCTGACAGGGTGTTTTCTTGACATCTCTTGGCTTGCTTGCATGCTGATCTGACTTGCTTAAAGGAATATGTCTCCCCAAGAAGGACCATACCTAGATTGGGGCTGTGTTTGTTGAACTGCGGCTTGTGTCCACGTGACCAAATCTGACATCCAGGGACGAACAGAACTCTTGACTAGGGAAACACTGATCCAAACACGTTTGTTTGACATTGTGTGTGCGCATGCGCTGATTGTTTAGTAACTGGTGGTGTTAGTGGACAGTATATAGTGTACTGTAAAAGCAGAAATTTTCGGTGGTGTAATATTTTCGGTATTCGCCAAAATCGGCGGTTCGGTAGCGGGAAATTTTCGGTAAAACCCGTTCTCCAGGTATGTGTACTAGTACTACATGTATACAGTATCGGTTGTACCGAAAATTCGGTGCGTTTTATTTTCGGTAAAAATTGTCGGCACCGAAGTTACCGAAAATAAAACACCACCGAAAATGTCTGCTTTTACAGTAACTTGTAGTTCCTTGGTCTTTCTCTTTTGTATAAATTGTGATGTTTGTTCAGGTTTCAAACATCCTAATAACGCGTGTGCATCCTGATAATGTAGTGCATGCATGTACATATTAAGACCCCTGCCATGCACACATCGCCATCGTAATTATACGCTGTTCCATCATATGCAGAATGTTGGCTTTCAGATTTCCAAGAAAATCAAGCAGTTTATAATGTTGTTTACTCAACCTAGCCTGCAGGAACTGTTTTTTCCTTTGAACCATCGATCATGTCGTTTTTTATACGCTTCCATATTCTGCCCTTAGGATGATCTGGGTGGTAATGATAGCGACTTTCTTTCCGACGAGTACGAAGAGCTGGATCGCTACAGGTAGGGGCCTACACAGAGCATGCATCATCACTCCCCGGTGCTGACTGCATGATGTGATCTGATTGGAGGGCATTTCTGAGCCTCTTCACAACACAGTCATAGCGTAGGAGCTGTGGCATCAGATAACATAACATACCGGTCACAGCACGGGGAAGTTCAGCCTGTAGTGGACTGCGGGCAGTGTGGCTCATTTAGTCTGTCATTTCTTGTGGCACGTTACAATACTGCCGGGTGCTGAAGAACGGGGGGGGGTCAGCCTCCTAGCCTAGCCCGTTCCCATTTTCATATACTGCAGTCTATGCACAGCTGCTTCACCATGTGTCATTAGTATGCTGTACTTGGTGAACTCCTAGCCTGTTGGTTCTTTGGCACTCCGTTCTTTGGCACTCCGTTCTTTGGCACTCCGTTCTTTGGCACTCCGTTCTTTAGCACTCCGTTCTTTGGAACCCAACAAAGTGCTGTACTGTGCTACGCGGGGCAACATGAAAGAATACGCGTTAAATTACGTGACGTACTCTTCAAGTAAAGTGGGCTAGCATGGCCTTGGACAATGCGGTAACCCTGCGAAATGCAATCGGCAAACTTGCTAATGGCTACGCCTAGAGGCATAGTGCTCGATCTGTGCACAGCTGAGCTGTTCTCATTCTGTGTGTTACACATGCAATCTGCCTTGTCGATTCAGGATTTCTCACGCCAGCGGCTCCGGTGATGAACTAAACGGCGCGCCTTTCAAGTCTCAAACACTGCCGGTGCCAAACCAGAAGTGCCGCATAGACTCTGTGAACCTGCGACGCCAGCAAGAGGAGGAGAAGAAGAGGAAAAAGGAAGAGGAGAAGAAGCGCAAGAAGGAGGAACGCAAACTCAAAGAGGAAGAGCGCCAGCGTGAGGAGAAGCGTTTGAAGGAAGAAAAGAGGCAGCGGGAAGAGGAGAAGAGGCTAGAGAAGGCCAGAAAGCTAGCCGAAAAGCAGCAGCAGAAAGAGAAAAAGAGGGGCAAATCGACATCCGAATCGTTTTCCATCCCGGCAGCTGAACAGCAGGTACCTTAGCCCACTAGACACACCTTGACCGTGCCCATTGCGTAGCAATGATAGCGACACCCACCCCCCCCCCCCCACACACTTCTGGTGTTGCAGTTGTTTTCCTGTCCTGGCAAGTAGTATTTAGACCAATTGCTATCAATAGAATGAAGCCTGAGGACATCACCACACAACATTCAACTTGTTAGAAATCACGGTACTTCAATTGCTACATAACTAACTTGCATATTAGACATGTTACATTATGCATCTTGTCTCCAGTATTGGGCCAGCTCATCCCGTGGTGGATCTTACCTCCTTGTGATAGCACTATGGCTGGTAGCACTATGAGCCAAAATACGAGTGAGACTGCATGCCTGAGTACATGAGTACGTGCATGAGTACATGCAGAAAATAGTCAATTTAGCGTTTCTGCTCCAAACAGCAACTTGCTTCGACTAGCTACAAAGATTACACCAAAGGATCAAACAACAACCGTTTTCTTCATTTTTTTGACAGGTGGCTTCCTTGTGCTTGGCCCAGCACGCCAAAAATCACAACTCGGAGGAGTACAAAAATTACAACTCCCAGATGTCCTCGATTGCTGGCCATGATTGGGGAATGTTTTGAGCTCTCTGCCTGTGTTCTCGTCTCGTAGGTTTCTACTGAACCGGACAGAGACCCAGAAGACTGTGAGAGTACAGCCACCAGTCTGGACGGGGGAGTCAGAGCGGACACTGCACAGCTCGAAGAAGCAGAAGAAGACGAGATTCTGTATGGCGAGGTGGACGAATTCGAGGATGTTTCAAATCTGGATGATGCACCCCGCACTGTGCATACTGTTGCAGCGGCTGATGTGCAAGGCATCGATGATTACATCCGCATGCACAGCGCTGCCAGTGGTGCAAGGAACGTGGCCACCGCACAGCTCACCAAAACGCTGTCGTCGACATCCGTCAAGATTGGCCTGGGACGCCGAGACACCGAGGAGAGATTGCGATCAGCTACTCTGTCGGCGGCAGTTATGCAAAGTGCCAGAAAACCTCTGATGGTGAGCTAACAGGCTGGTTCTAGTGGGTACTTTGGGTACAGTCAACTTCGCTAATAACGACTGCGGATATAACGACAATTCGCGAATAACGACAGAATTTCCGTGCCCTGAGCAAAATCCGATCTAACTGTAATGAGACTTCGTGTATAAGGACACTTCGCGAATAAGGACACTTTTCTGATGCCCCGCCGAATGTCGTTATACGCAGAGTTGACTGTATTCCAATGAATGACCAAGTTGAGGCACTGAACATTCTCAAAAATGTTGTGCCCTCAAGTTAAGTCAGTACCTCGGATGTACACGTACAGTAGGTATCGGTTATAGCGTGGGTGTTTGAAAAACGACTTTCTATTCTTATTTCCGCTATTTCTTACACACGATAAATCAAGTGTGACATACCAATTACCATGTGCATGTGCGCAGAGGCAGGAAGATCATCGTACATACAAGGTAGTGCTACTGTGCATGCGGCTGGTCACAGTCACATAGGCTTACCATTTGGCTATGCAACATGAGTTACATGACCACAATAGTTGAACCTGCAGCACTACGACCCAACGCGAGTCAGATCAGAACTGCTTTGGACGGATGTTATTACTACAGGCGATATACTTTGTACTGATCTGGCATGTTTCGCTATACAGATTCCATTCTTAGGACCGATATATTCTACTGTACGATAAAATTGCTTGTAAGAATAAATGTGCACATGAAATCCATGTTATGATTATGAAAACATGAAAGTTCATTCTTGTAGGCAGTATATTCTTTTACACGACCACGCTATATCCGATATGCACTGTAGAATGTGGACATCCTGTGATTTTTTTATAATGATGCCCTTCCATCTTTGCTGACGTCCAAACCGTAACACAATAACAGTCCTTAGCTGCAACACTCAAACCGATTTTTTCCAAATTTTCACCCAGGGACATCATCAGGGATGATGCACTTCCTCTGAAAATAACTGTATTTTTCTCTTTACCAGCTGTTTGTATCGAAGTGAACCACCGGACTGCTAAGTCCAGAACTTTGCAGCGGCTTAAGATAACATGGGTGAGAGAAGAGGGGGAAAGGTCAGCCTGACCTTGCAGGTGGCAACCGTGTGAAACAGGACGGTCAGCCTTGCAAATAACCGTCTGACCCTGGATTGTGCATGAGAGAAGTAGCGTCGTTCGCGAGGCTGGAAGTATGCAGTCAACTGGTCACTAGGTCTGAAGATCGTGTTGTTATTCGCGAGTCGTTATACCCGAGGGCGATATGAAAGGTTGACTGCAGTTACTTTCTTACCATCTAGAAGGCCTTGGTAAGTTTTTGAGGTAATGTTGGATAGGGGAAAGGATCTGGGTTGCACATGTCCTTGTATCATTGACGATTTTTATACTCTCAGATACATCCGGTGGAGCCGGAAATAGCTAGAACGTCTGGTCGGATAATTAAAACTTCAGAACATGCACTTGTCTGTGCTCTAACTCAGTTATTCTGCGAGAGTGCATTTTCAAGTCTTCTTAGGGATCGTCCGGGACTACCGAAAACCTTTTGTTGAAATCAAAAGTTTTAGTACAGTCAGACCTCGCATAGCCGCACACATCCGTTTTCCGAAAAAATATCCGGATGGGCGAGGGAACCAGATAATCGAACACACATGCTATCGAACACACATGCTGTATGTATGCATGGCATATGCTGTAAATCGGTAACCAACGATTTTCTTCCAGATGGCGAGGGATTCGGATAAAAGAGGACCGGATAAGCGAGGTCTGACTGTACTTCCAAGAATTTTCGGCACGAAAACATGTCTTTATCTTCAGTGCCATCTGTTTGACGGGCCGGCTGTTTTCTGTTCTAAAACCTTTTTTGAAACTTTCTTCCGCATTCGGCAATAAATTTTGGGAGTGAAAAAAAAGCCATCTAGTACCCCCTCCCTATTGAACCTAGATTTCTTTTAATACTTTGTTGCCCACTCTTTTTGCAGAAACCTCGCAAGTCCAGTCCGACTATGCAAATTGCTGGAGGAATATCCAATACCAGTGTCACACCTACGGGTAATTCAGTTCATGACGCCAGCATTGGAGCCGGTCCCATGGGTCATACAATGACTTCCGACAGCCTGGGAAAACAATACACCTCTACAGCAAGTGAGGACAGCGCTTACGACGAGGATGTGTACGATGTGCCAGAGCTTGACGCGTCGGACAGGCATGCTGAGCAGCCGGGCACAGCTAAGAACAGCGAGCGCATGCGGAAGAACGGCATCCCAGGCGGTGCGGCCAGCCCAGGTAGTGACCCATCCTCAGAATTGTACGACGTGCCGGAATTAGACCACACAGGCGCGGGCGATTGCAGCAAAGCCCGCAGTGACGATCATGACGCGGAGGAATCTGAATACTTGCACATGGCACCTATTGTTCCCGTGCAGGGGGCGTTCTGGGCGGACGAAGCAGCGGAAGAAGGATTCGGATCGCTGTCGCCGCCCCCGCTCTCGCCCCGCCTGGCCAGCTCTGCGGAACTCTCGTCGCCTCTCAGGGGGCACCACTACCACGGAGAGACGCCGCTCAGCCAGGAAGACCTTCATCTAGTGGGCTCTCCGGAGGATGGTGGCGTGACGGCACGGTCGCTCAGTGTAACCACGCATGCTAGCCACGATTCCTGGAATACAAAGTAAGTGAAGATGCATGCTGGCCATGATTCATCCTGATGATGGCTCCTGGCCGAAGATTGATTGAGATCATATTAGTAACTTGAAGAGAACACTGAATAGACCACTTGATTTGAGGATGGTGTGTGTAGGGTTTTTCATGTAATGATTCATGGAATTCAAAGTAGGTGAAGACACTGCAATTTGCATGTAGATTCACTATAAATTCTTTTTCTGTCTTTTCGCAGTGTCCACCTCACTAATGTTATCCGTAGCTGTAATAGAACTATTGTCTCCGGGCCCATACACTATAACTGGTGTGTTCCAGTAGAACTGCATGTAGTGAACGGCTCTAAGCATTACCACTTCCACATCTGGGCATGAGCATTCAGATTCAACTGCTCACATTCAAGCTGCAACGAATTCTGGATTCCGCAGACGCCTCGGAATACAGGCTAGACCTGCCCGGTCCCCAGGGTGTTCATTGCTGAGACTGAGAGGCTCCTCTGCACCAGACCATGTGCTGGTGTGATGCGGGGATGCAACCTGTATCTGCTGCGGTCATGGTGGACCATGGACCATGAGCAGGCCTGCACACAACGCTTGTCCAAGATTAGAATGTGTTACTGCAAGTATGAATGTCAATAACAGTGGTCGCATCGACATTGAGTCATCGCTATCAGTACATACTGTGAACCAGGAAAGTAGGGAGGATTTCCACTTTGTGGTATTCTGGTATTGTTGCTAATCAATGACTATGTCGATACTGTTCTGTATTCTTGCTAGGATAACATCTGCGTACATTGCATGGGCTGGAGAAGAGATGCAGTCGTAAGTACTGTATTTGCATGGACGTGTGTGTTCGAGTGTGTTCGTGTTCGTGTTCGTGTTCGTGTTCGTGTGTGTGTGTGTGTGTGTGTGTGTGTGTGTGTGTGTGTGTGTGTGTGTGTGTGTGTGTGTGTGTGTGTGTGTGTGTGTGACAGGACAGGTGTGTGCATTGTGCATATGTGTGTGCATATGTCTGTGTTTACTCCTGATGTAACAGTCAATTATTTGCTGTACTACCAGTTTAATGAATGAACGCATGTCGCCACCAGAGTGTGTCTTCACATAGTCGTGTACTTGGTCCAGAGCCACTTCGACCATCAATTGATACAATCAATACTATTCTAGGAGCACTTTTTGATCAAACGTTCCTGCCCAGGAATTATGTCAAATTCGTATCAAGGCACCTGCGTGTCTTGAATCAAATGCGAAAGAATACTTGGATGGTGTGTTGATGACAATGTCATGCCATATAGGAATGAAGGTCACCTTCAGCATGATGACATCGCTACGGAAAATCAGATGTCAAGCCCGTCACCCATCCAAGAGGAACGCGTAAGTCCCTTTTAGTAGAGAAGCATTCTAGTGAGCTCATTTGAGAATAGAGTAGCTGTCTGTTATGACACGAACAGTCATTCCGAAAGTGGTTGCATATTTGTATTGCTCATAAATTGAACGTCACTCCTATCCTGGCCAGCAGTGATTCAGTTGCTGTTCAAGAAATTGATGATACGGCCGCTTCTAGTGTTCTTGTCTGGCCATGGAGATCTCACCCGGCGTGACATGGTTTGAGTGGATGTAGATTGAGAGAATGCAGACACTAGCCCATGGTGTCTGTAGGACTGAGCCTGCACCACAGTACAGCTCAGTGAAGTCCTACATGTACATGTATCTCATGAGCATGTTAGCATCTTGCTCAAACGCACAGCAAAGGGTTAGAGTACCACAGGCTAACCCATGATGTTGGGTCACGGCTTATCTCACATGTACTTTTTACTTAACCATTTGAGACCTAGAAGTGTTTCAGAAAATGTGAAATCACCATCCTTGCACATATTTCCTCAATAATAGGGTGGATAGCTCCATCATTTCTAGGTTAAATTTTGTTTCGAAATGCCCATATGCCTGAAACAGGCCCATGTGGAGTTCAAGTCGGAGCTGGAAAACATCTTCAGTGCCAAGCATCTTGTAGCCAGTGTTCTTCAAATAGTATTCAGGCAGGCGTCTATTCATGTCACTTTTACTGCAATGACCCCATGACGGCGATGAAATCGGCACCAGACACTAAAATCCCTGATGCTTCTTTCATCTCCGTCATGGGTGGGTGCTGGTGGCGTCAAGCAGCCGAATAGGACTAATGTGAGCGGACAAATACGTTGCTTGTTCGCTTCTCTTCTTGCTAAAAAGAAACTCACTGACCATGCCCGGTAGTCAGTGTCAGGCATACTGGGTTCATCAGCCTCCTTTCGCTTTGCTGCAAGCAGGAGTTACGGGTGTAAGCAATGGCTGGCCTGGTCTGTAGAGCCTTGGGGGCCCTTGGCCAAATCCAGGCTGCGTTGGAAGGCTATCTCTTCAATGTGGATGCCACTGGTCCCCTGCACACCAGTCACGATGGTTTTCATTGTTTTGTTTTTGACCGTGTTGTGAGCCACTACTACCAGTAAGCAACTCGACGGCACAGTGCCCTAGTGCTACTAGTATACTTCGAAATAGCACTGTAGGTGAGAAAGATACAATGGCTGCATGCATGCATGCTTGAATGCATGCATGCATGCACACACAGTGACACCTGTGTGAGGCGACCACCGCTCAAGGGACCTTACAAATGTGGTCCCCGTGTAAAGGTGGTCTCCTTATCCAGAGTAATTTGACTGGAAGTAACATCCCCTGCACCTGGCACGTGGTCCGCCCTATTTCTAGTAGTGGTCCTCTGGTGTGCGCGGTCGTCTTATTAGAGTGGTAGACTTGACAGGGTTTGCTGTACAAGCGAAACGTGCATACGCATAAACGTACATGATCGCCCACACGGCAGCCGTACACACATTGCTGTGGTTGCATGAACGTACGCACACGCACCTTGAGCCCTGAACGTGCCCATTGCCGATGGCAATGGTAGCGATGGGACTATCTGCTAGCTTTTGCAGTACGGAACGTGGCGGTTGAGATCCCCCCCCCCCCCCCCGGACGACGACGGACCTTTCCGTATGCACAGTGTAACACATGCACACACATGCACACACCGGCACACACACACACACACACACAAAAACAAAAACAAATACATCCACCCACATGTAAACAGATAGGACACACAGACAACTGTAGCATATTGCCATTATAATTATTTATCTCCGGAATGGCCATAGCAAATCCATATCACACAACTCTATGCTACCATGCAGCTATTTGTGACAGTATAAGGGTTAACTGTTAATCACAGTCTACCTCACCACAACACTGCAGCATTGCAATGTGGTTGTAGAGAACACGTGTGTGACAGCGTGGGCTGCACTCTGTTTAGATTTTGGCAGGCAGCCACATGATGAAGCGCTTAGGCCCCGTCGTCAGGAAGGGGTGACACGTTCTGAGTGGTCACTGAAAGGCGTCTTTCATTGATTGCTACTTTCCACCATAACGTGTGTCCTCAGTAGCCTGCACGTTCCCAAGGCTGCACGTTCCCAAGGCCTCATTATGGCCGTAGGTGTGATGTGCTGCAAGATAGGTTGCAGTTGTCAATGCGTGTGATCCCGCCAGTCATAGGGCATCAGTCCACAGTCATAGGGCATCAGTAATCTAATTAAATCCATCCACAACTCTGACCACCCACTGACATAGAGCTGTGCAACGTGTGCTCTGCCTGTGCCTGTGCCTGTGCCAGGGTGTGACCCTCCCAGAGTGGTCACTGTTGCGCTGCACGTCTTTGCCAGTCCTAGTCCGTGCCTTACTTGCCATTGCTGACAGCTGCACCATTTGGCTGTTGTCCTGACTGCATGCAGCTGAGCGGTATCACGTCCCCACGGGCCATGTACACCCAATTGAAAAATAGGTGTCTATTTCCATAGGGGAGTCCTTTACAGCACTCCAAATAGCAACCCAAATATCTTATACCATGTCATACCTGAAGTGATTCAATCAAATTTTACTCTGAGTTCCTGAAAATGTGTGTATGGTGTACATGTACGTGAGCAGCCCCGCCTTTCATCCAGATACCTTCTTAGTGTTACATGTAGCCTTGTTGTAGGGTATACTTCTGCTCAAGCACATGACACCCCACTGGCTACATGACCGACTAGTAGCATGTTTGCCATTCCAGCAGCAGACTATCACCAAACTCCCAGTGCTCTTGGTCTGGCTACTCAGCTCCTGTGACCAATTATTTACAGTATATGCATGCTTGGCTGGCAGTGAAAATTAAAATAACCTGTCTCAATAACTATACAGTTACTTTGCAGTTAGCGTAGAATAATGTCAATCACTGCTGTTACTTCAACTCCAAATAACCATACATCATGTAGTATGTACAATGCCTTTTTACTAATGCAAAATTAATGATAGTAATGGAGTCAGGGCCAGGGGACATGCACTGATGCAGTGACTGTGGCTCCTCACCTGTCCTGACCACAAACACTGAGTCTGTCACGGTCACACTGCCAAGAGTACTACCGGTAGTACAATGTAGTAGTAGTGCAGTGTGCACCGTGTAAAGTATATGCAGGGCTAGGCTAACTACATCATGTACCCGGTAACTGGTACAGTGGTACTGGTAGGGTAGATCTACAGAACAACTGGAGATCAGCATGCGAGTTTGCTGAGTACAGACTGTACATGTACTGACTGCGCCTGGAGGAAAACAAGACGTCATTACTAGTACATTGTAAGTACATGTACGACGGGGAATAAGCTAAACGAAGGAAGGTGTAAGCTGCATGTGCATGTACTTGCATTGTAGTCTTTTTGTTGAAACGGAAACAAAACTTATTCTCTTATACCAGGGTTCTAGCCAAACGTGGGTAGAACTAGAAGGGCGCAACGCCCCCCTCCCCTGTGCAAATACATTATATCTGTTTTTCAGGACTAATCTTTTCGTGTTCCATAACCTCGTTAGTGGTACTGGTCAGTGGTACTGTCACCACACACAGTGTGAGTCTGCTGTCTTGGCCTTGCTAGACTTCACACCATACGAAACACAGTGACACTAACAATTGTATAACCTAGACCGTGCACTTCTATCTCAGCTTTTCTTCAGGATTTCAGGTATATGCTCCGAGGGGCCGTCCGTAAATACATGGTTTAGAGACGTCTAGCGGGAGTTTCTTTCTTGATCCCCCCAGAAATGCAGATACAGTACCGGTAATGCCACTCCTAATAGTAATACCGGTAACACCATACTATACACACAATCATACCCCGGTATGTCATGTATACAGTATATCGGGACAAGCACAAACATGGCTACTCTGCCGTGACCATGGTGACCAGGCTGGCGCGTCACGGGTACCGGGTGCAGTGCAGTAAGTTACAGTCATATCAAGCCTGGACTGGAGACGCCTTGCACTTGCTCCAAAAATTAATGTCATCGACTACGACGTAGATCTACGTACCGGCAAATCGTTGTGTAAGAAGAATGCAGCTGACCGTCGACAGCACTAGCGGAGAACCTATAAATAGTTGCTAGACTCTCCCATTAGTCTCGACCGCGCGATCGATGTAATTAGGCCTCCGCGGAATATGCTCGTATTTTTACCGATAATTCCTTTGAGCATTGCTCAAAATTACGTCCGATAATTCCCGTGATTCCACCAATAATTCTCACAGTAATGCTTTTTTCTTCCCTTTTTTGCAGATACCGTGCCGCTTTTACGGGGTTTTTTGCCACTTGTACGGGCAAAAAAATCACGGTTCGCGTGAAACTCGCCTGGAAGCTTTTTTTTTCTCTTTTGAAATACCGGGCGATCAACTCATTCAGGATCACAAGCTTTTTGGTACAAATCAGGGTGTTAAAATGGAAAAAAATTGAAAAAAGGGGGCATTGCTCAAATTTTACCGATTATTCCACAAAAATTGCCAATAATTCCCCTTTTAAAAATCACACCGATAATTCCCGAAATTATGCCGGCATATTCCGCGGAGGCCTAGATGTAATGCTGTCAGAGTGCAAACTGCAATCGTGCGCGTGAGTTATCAGGTTAATTACTTATTAGGTTAGTGTAGATTCAGGATGTGGGCTGTCGACGTATCCGAGCGGATTTCACTTGTCAACAGTTTACGATTCTAATGCCTTTTAGTAGGTAGCTTTGATTACCAGATTTCGATTTGATTTTAGTCGTAGATGTACATTGTGCGTGCAGGGGAACGTGGACTTCTGTCGAGTGCTGCTCAATGACCTGTCTCACCGCGGACCGGTATGAATGCCAAACAGTTTATTACTAATTATTACTTGGTGCACGTTTTGCCATGCTTTAGTCAACTCAGCTTCTACTGTAGTTCTACTAGTTCTAGGTAGGGAAAAAAGCCGACCTCACTGTGACTTTCACAACCATAATATCAAGTGTCCATGATCATGGACACGGATACTTCTACTACAATCGTGTAGTACTGCAGTTTAACTTTAAATATAACCTGAATATGGCAGAGAAGAAGTTTGGAGGCTTCCTGCAGTTTTATAGTAGATACAATTGGGTGAACTCACCGATTCCGCAACAATACTCTGCAAATTTCCAACCATTCCATTATATACAACGTTTCGGCCAATGGCCTTCTTCAGGTAGTCAAGGCTGCAAACGGGTGGTTTAAATATGTGCCAATCAAGAGTACTGACTGTGCATTAACCATGCTTTATTACAATTATTATTTGTTTCAATAGTAACAAACATGCGAGAGCAATGAGTGAATGTGAAATGTACATGAGATACATGTAAAAAGAAGAAAGGAAACGCAGTTGTTTATAACCTGCTATCAGTATCACAGTATCAGGTTCGGTCCCATTTTCTCTGTGCTGCGCTGATGAGTCCACAAATAAAAGGACAAATTAGTTCCGTCCGCAGATTGAGTAACTTCCCGATAAATTTGAAGTTACTTAGCTAAATAATCTACGTGGAGATAAAAGTTCAATAATAGCTATGAAAAGTATGAATGCCGCAGACATCACCACGCAACATGACAATTTGTTCAAGGTTTGGTTTTGTGTGTTTCCAAAATCGATTTTCACGCTCCGATCATCAGTGGAAATACGGAACTAAAGAGATCAAGGGAAAAACAAAGGTTAAAAATCCAAACTGGTGGTGAATATGAGTTGGGTGATGATGCGGCGGATGACGAGGATACAGATGACGACGAGGCGGATGACGGCGAGGATACAGATGACGACGAGGTGGGTGATGACGAGGCGGCGGATGACGACGAGGCGGATGACGATGAGACGGCTGGTGGTGATGGTGATAAAACGGACGAGGAGGAGTCAGGTGGCAGGGAAGGTGATGGAGCTGATGAGGGTGAAATTCGTAAGAAGTCAGCTGTGTACTTGCATTTGTTATCTCGTCCCGATTGTTTGAGTGTTTATGATGATTCCCACTTCTCTGTACTGTGTCGTGCCCGTTATGTCCAGCAGTTGAAGGTCCTTGAAGCTGTTTGTATTCGTACGCATAAGCCCGATTTGTGTAAGCAAAAAGAACATGTTTTAGCACTTAGGTTATTTTCGTGAGTTTGCACCCCGAGTTGTTTCTGCACTGTTCATGCCCGTTTGTCACACTTACTCTTTATTTTAGTTCTCACTTTTTGTAATACTTACCACAAGTTACCCGTCATGTGTCACACTTCTTTGGATTTTTAACCTTTGTTTTTCCCTTGATCTCTTTAGTTCCGTATTTCCACTAATGATCGGAGCGTGAAAATCGATTTTGGAAACACACAAAACCAAACCTTGAACAAATTGTCATGTTGCGTGGTGATGTCTGCGGCATTCATACTTTTCATAGCTATTATTACTTACTTAGAAGTTGCGACTTCGGCGGTAATAGTCATGAAGTTGGTTGCTCCAACGAGGAGCACACGCTTCTTGCCGAACTTGACACTTGACTGACTCACGACTGCCATCCGGAGCACACGAGGAGCACGTCGCACCTTCCGCTCGGCAAACCTGTAAGAAAGCACCACTCCCTGCTCAATACACAGTGTTTCGGGGAATTCACCCCTCATCAGTTGAGCTTGAGTAGGTAAGTTTGTATCCCTGGTGATGGTTTGGCCTGGAGAGCAGTATATAAGTGGTGCTTTTCAGGCACAATCTTCCTCAGCCTACTCAAGCTCAACTGATGAGGGGTGAATTCCCCGAAACACTGTGTATTGAGCAGGGAGTGGTGCTTTCTTACAGGTTTGCCGAGCGGAAGGTGCGACGTGCTCCTCGTGTGCTCCGGATGGCAGTCGTGAGTCAGTCAAGTGTCAAGTTCGGCAAGAAGCGTGTGCTCCTCGTTGGAGCAACCAACTTCATGACTATTATTACTTAGCTAAGTAATTAGTTAGTTGTTTGCTCCTACGTGGAGCACACGCTTCCTCCTGAACTAATAACATACTCATTGATGCATGTACATATGTCTGTACATGTAATGAAAAGAGTAAAATGAATGACTCAATGAGCTTGTGTAGATCTCCTCTTTGAGGTTATTGCCAATATTGGTGGATACGGTATGTGGATGTGGAATAGAGAGCTGGTATTTTAAAGCACGACCATTCTTTGCGGTGTGGCAAGACCGCGGGCGAAACTGAAATGATTTATTCCACGCATCCCGTAGCATGCACATGTGTCACACCTCTGCGTGCTCAAGTAAACAAGAGCTCAGAGTTCAGCATGGACCAGTGCACACCGAGTTACGACTACTCTGCCAGAGCAACAGCAAGACGCAACTTGGATATCCTGGTCACAGCACCAAAATTAATGTCATCTCTACGATAGTGGAGCAGTACGCGTACCAGTTTCATTTCCAAGTTGGAATTTTTTGATGGAAATGTCCCGCCTCTGGAGCCACATTTCGTACTCTATGCCCGTACCTGTTACGGTGCAGAACCAGTTTTTGTTGGCTTGGCCAACGAGAGCTAGGCGGTTACCGTCACGACTCGCCGACTTCCAAGTTGGGTAACATCACGGGGACGTGATTCTTGAGAGGCCGGGGAATTGTCATAACCCGGACTCGACTCGTCGTGAAAGCGACCACGCAATGAGATTCAGCAGCCAAAAGCTGGGCTCCGAAATATTCTAGAGTTCTGTAAGAACCATGATTAGTCCTGCGAAGGATTTGGCACTTTCGTTAGTTGAGCAATCATGGCTTACAACTCGTGGCCTCGAGTCACAAGTGTTGTCGTACGGCGGCTACACCTTAATTCAGTACAAGTCGTCAGCATTGTACTCACTACACCATGTACACTGTTGAGCTTGAGGGGACCGGTCCCTGCTGTCCCTGCTTAGTCCTGCAAGGGAGCTGATACCTTAGCTTTGTTAGTCGAGCAAGCATGGCACCTCTTCTCGCGTCGTACGACGTAAAGGGTCCTGCAAGTGCTTCGCGCACTGCGGACTCCGTTATCCCTTTTTGGGAGAGGTCGCGGCTTGACCGTGAAGCGCCCTACGGGGTAATGAGAGGGAAGAGCGCCTAGCTAGCTACGGGGCAGAAGATGAAGGGTGACCCAATCAAGACACCGTACGAAGGCGGCTTTTGTAGCTGCAGCAATATCCGACAGCGTACTCCAGGCTCCGTCGCACGATCGACGTACGAATAACCTCGGAGATCACTCATATTTGTAACACTATCATCATGTAATGTGGGTGAGCGAGCTCCCCGAAGCTATACTAAAATATTTCCTACTAATTATTATAATCACAATTATACTATAACCAAAATCACATAAAAGCCGCCTTCTTCCAACGAATAAAAGTATCTTTGATCGCTCCCCTTCAACCTTCGACTACCTTGTGTGAGCCGGAAAACAGGTGTGAGCTAGCAACTTGGATGGCGACTATATTGGTCGTCTACCTGGGTAGCCACTAGACTGATCTAAGCCAAGTCACAAACCCGCCAAGCGCGGCCATGACACATGTAGTTGTCAATCGAAGGGGGTGGAAGTCAACCGCGTCTGAAGAGAAGAGTGAAGAACCGTTACTATCCCTCCGATACTCTAGACGGAGTGAAGACTAGTGTTTTTTCGCTATGCATTGCGCCTACTGCAGAGCTGGCAAGGAGACTTCAACGATGAAGAGGCACTCGCGCGATCGCCGCATGAACACGGACACAGTCATAATAAAGACTAATAATTGTAATCCGCACAATGAGTCAATGACTACTACTAGTAGTATGACTGTATGTAGATCTGCGTCATCTTTATGTCACCCTCCCGAGTCCGAGCCGATAAGACCTAGCCCCGGCCCCCGAGTCCCCGACCCTGCATTTTTATCGTGAAGGTTGTAAACTAGTTACTTGTACTAGTACAAGTGGGGACGTCCGGACGTAGAGCTACGTGCACGCGTGCTTCCTCAGCTCACAGTCTCAGCGTGATCGTATATCAACCAATCAATCAACGAACCGTCCTACACGAAGGTACGTCTACGGTCTACACTACAGACTCAGTACTAGAAGTCAGTCCGTGCATGTACGTGCGGCCGGGCAGCCTGCATTCCACTGTCAGTCTGTAGATCTACTGGCATACTTGCCATTACATTTTGCGGGTAGGGAGTCGAGTCGGACAGCAAATCCGGTGTACGGTGTAGTGCGGAGAGTGAGAGTGCTGAATGGAAGTGCAACACTTTCGATGAGCCGCCAATTAATTACCCAGCTAGCAGGTACACGTAGGAAAGCGTAAGTGTCCAAATCCGATATCTTGACTTCACGATCGGGCAAACGCTTTACAATAATGACTTGCGACCGAGTAACTCCGACTCTCGTCAGTCTCGAGTCTACTTTTTCGTGGTGACTTGCGGAAACGCCATATATAAGAGAGGTAGATTCTACACCGGAGTCTAGATCTATTCGTTGTCAGCAGTAGTACAGACTACAGACTACAGTACAGTACGGTACCGGATTGTGGAGCGATCAAAAATAGTTTGTGAATCTTTTATCGAAGCGCTCACTGGGCGATATCGCGATGGGGCTATAGCGCTACTTCACCTGTCGATGTCTTGAAGCTACAAACTGTTCACATAAACTTTTGCACTAACATCCGACCATCGCGATATCGCGATCGGAAGAACACATCAGCATTATTTCCTTGTGTCAGTTTTTGGTTTACGTAGCAAGTGCTAGTCGCAGACAGAGCAACGGGAGTTCAGAGGGCGACTTTGAAGGCCGACTTTCGGTCTATTTAGCAGTTTTCCTTGCACAGGAAGTTAGTTGTGCAAAGCACTGGTAGACTGGCAGAATGGCGACAACTCCGGAGGAGCAGAAGGCGCTGATGACCTTGTTTGGCCGCATGGTGAAGGGTAGGTCTGCGGAGTCTGCGGAAGCCGGTGCTCAGCTGAAGACTCGTCCTTCGGATGTTATCATTAGCACGTCTCTGAAGTCGGGCACAACCTGGGTGCAGCAGATCTGCCACCAATTGCGTAGCGGCGGCGACATGGACTTCGTGGATATCAGTGACGTCATACCGTTTCTGGAGATGGCCAAAGACTTGGACATAGAGGTGGATTGCGATCAGAAATTCGAGCCGCGCATGTTCAAGACTCACTTCTGGGAGCCTCACACTCCCAAGGACTGCCGCTACATCATCGTATCGAGGCATCCGTACGACGCAGCGATCTCCTTCTTCCACTTCGTCCAGGGCTGGTATTTCCCGACCGGCGACATCTCGCTGAATACGTTCACGCGCGAGGTGTTCCTGCGGATGGCCGCGCCGCGCAGCGCGTACGATTTCCCGTCGCCCGCCCACCACCAGGCGTCATGGTGGCCCAGACGTCACGACAACAACGTACTCTGGCTGCTCTACGAGGACCTGAAAGAAGACCTGGAGAAGAACGTGCGCAGGATCGCGGCGTTCCTGGACATTACCGATGAGGAGCGCATCCAACTAGCTCTACGGCGATCAACGTTCGACTACATGAAGGAGCATCGGGAGCACTTTGAGGAGCAGACCAACAAGCGGATCATCAACCCCCTCGTTGGGCTGCCCCCGGATGCCGGCAAAGGTGTGGGGAAAGTACGCGTGGGCGGTGGCCAGCGTGCGTTGCTCAACGAGGAGAACAAGGCGGCGCTGGACAAAGTCTGGGCGGAGGCGGCAGAGCCGATTCTCGGTGCCAAGGACTACGACGAGTGGAGAAGCAAGTGGCATGCAGAATGCCAACAGCAGCGTCAGGACGCTGGTTCATCAACTTAATCGGTTAAGCTGTTCAAGCTGGTGTGCAGCTCGAACATAGCTTTAATACTCGGCTCTGAGCATTACAATTGGACGTCCGTGATCCGCATACTCCAGTTGGAGTAAATATGTCTACACATGACGTAGCCCCAGCTGTCTTGAACAGATTTCCTTATATGATTATTGTCAATATGGAGCCATGACACTCTTGCTACACTTCACATTGATCTGTATTCATGGCGTATCCTGGATAATGCGGACTTCCAATGCCTATAAATATTTTTTTTAGAAATTACTTGGAGTTGCATGCAACTCCCTCAAACTAGTGGTATGAGCAGGAAAATTATAATTTTTCTTGCCTTGAGCAACATTGATGTGTTCTGTGGCCAGGTCATGTTGGATAGGGTAGCTGGAATGAGAAGAAAGCAATATCTGTTTTAAAAATACTAGAAAGATGAGTGCTGTTTCAGCTCTGTATCTATCTTGTGCTCAAGGACCTTTCACCAATCTGTCCCCTTGGAAAAATGCGATTTCGCAGCCACACGGAAATCACGGAATCCTCACTTTTGCCCGCGAAATCTGAATTTTTGCGGGTATTTAAAATTAGTAAAGTTTCTACTCAGAAACCAGCAGAAAAGCTGCTTTGCGATCTGTTTGAGCACATTGCTCTTGCCAGTGTAGGTGAGTGCAGATCTCTCCAAGAAAGGCAAGATTCTTCACTTCCATTGAGTTTGTGACGGCAAAAAACGTTATCGTGTGCGCGCATTGATACAGCTAAGCACCACAGCGAGGCCCTGATCACACATGAGTACTAGGTACTTGAACTTGAAGCACACTTGTGCCATGGTCTAGCTGGAGAACCAGTGGTCCTGCAGAGGGTTTCTAGATTCTACTGGACTGGATTGTTGACCTCTGCGTTCAAGTCAAGACAAGGTGTACTGTTTGCATGGAGTTAGCATGTGAAAGGAACGGAAGGACTGCTGAGCATGCTGTGTACTCTCACCGTGTCTACCATCTTACAGTAGAGCGGCGGACCACAATACATGGTCCACAATACATGGTCCCCAACTTGGACCACCCAGCCTGAAATACTAAGAATGCCCCGACCTAGAGTTCACATTGTTGCAAGTTTCGCACGGTGACGTGATTTGACCAGTGGCACTCCAAAAGGTTAAGAATGGTGGCAGTGGTTTTCTTTTTTTTTTGGAATACGGCTTTTGTTATACACATGTACATTGTAATCCAGTGCGCCTTGCTTCTAAGAACTTGGCATAAGAACGTAGTTATGTTGCTGAAAGGATTTGATCGTTCCAGAATGACCCCTTGGAAACGACGTTTTTAAACTGTACGCTGAAGAACGGCCGTCCTTCCTTCTCCAGTCCTTGTTGGCATGCATCGATGATGCTAAGGGTGCCTTTTGTACATGTAGCGAACTGAAATACCAACATATAGTATACATACGTACTTCAAGTAGATCAGGGGCGTAGCAGCCTGTCCGGCCAAAGCCCGACCACTATTTTTTTAACACAATACCAAAAATGCCCGGAATGCAGGATTTTGCACCCTAATTTCAAATTTTTCCCGGGGGAGGGGAGACCCCGCACCCCCACCCCGCACCCCCACCCCGCACCCCCACCCCGCACCCCCACCCCGCACCCCCACCCCGCACCCCACCCCCGCCCAACCAGCTCCAACGGCGGTGCTATGCGCCTGTATATTCACTGTCAATGTCATGCATTGCTAGCTACTCTCATGCATTGCTAGCTACTCTCATGCATTGCTAGCTACTCTCATGCATTGTTAGCTACTCTCATGCATTGCTAGCTACTCTCATGCATTGCTAGCTACTCTCATGCATTGCTAGCTACTCTCATGCATTGCTAGCTACTCTCATGCATTGCTAGCTACTCTCATGCATTGTTAGCTACTCTCATGCATGCACATTTCTCTTTATCTCCGTGGGGAATGATGATTATCGCCATGAGTAGTTTAACGTTGTCATGTGTGTTTTCCACCCTGTGCAGGCCAACCAGCACCACAAGGCGTCCACACTCAGTGCAGTGTCGGCAGCGCACTGTGCGGGCGCGCAGGATGACGGCACGCCATTGCAGCACCCAGCCATTGCAGCCACGCAGGCCGATAGCGGCCAAGACCTGCCCCTGCTGGCCTCTCCTAAGTCCAGGAAGGACAGTGGCAAGTTCAAAAAGGCGGCACTCAAGATGGCCAAAGAAGAGGCCAAGCGCCGACAAAAGGAAGAAGAGAAACGCTTGAAGGAAGAGGAAAAGCGGCTGAAGGAGGAAGAGAAACGCATGAAGGAAGACGAAAGGCGAATGAAGGAGGATGAAAAACGTCAGAGAGAGGAAGACGACAGGCGAATGAAGGAGGATGAAAAACGTCAGAGAGAGGAAGCCAAGAAGCACGAGGAGGAGAGGAAGAGAGAGGAGAGGGAACGACGTAAGGCTGAAGAGAAGGAAGCAAAGGAGCGGGAGCGACAAGAGAAGTTACGCCTTGCTGAGGAGAAGAAGCAAAAGAAGGTGAGTTAAGTTAGGAAAGCTAAAACTTACAAGCTCTGCTTGAACCTCTTGGAAATCATGAAGTCGAATGTCAAGTTAGTCTTGTTTCGAGCAACAATTGCTCAGCCATCACTTGAATTAGCCAGATACTGTACTGCATTTTTTGGATGAAGCATGCATGGGTAAAGATAGAATATACTGTACCTGCCCCTGTGATAGTGACTGCATACCGTAGCCATGGCAGCCTATTCCTTGAGCCACGATCAGATCCGAGGAGTCTTAGTTGTATCACCCAAGCCGAATTCTGCACCCTGATCTTCGGCCTTCTTTATCATGGGTTTTAAGTTCGTTATCATGGGTTTTAAGTTCTTTATCATGGGTTTTAAGTTCTTTATCATGGGTTTTAAGTTCTTTATCATGGGTTTTAAGTTCTTTATCATGGGTTTTAAGTTCTTGATCATGGGTTTTAAGTTCTTTATCATGGGTTTTAAGTTCTTTATCATGGGTTTTAAGTTCTTTATCATGGGTTTTAAGTTCTTTATCATGGGTTTTAAGTTCTTTATCAGCCGATTTGAGTTTAGCATGTACATGCTCAGTATGTATAGCCTTGCTTGCTGTGTGCTCTTGTTGTGAGGAACACATCTTACCTTTTTGCTAGGCTGGCATTTGGTTGTCGCAGAATGTAAAATTCCATTTTCGAAAGTATTGAGCAATTGCTGCTTGGATTACAGCTACACCATAGTGGTGATTAGAGCATGGCTGACCTATAGCGAAGGTGCCGGTACTCGGTCCATGGCCTGGTGGTGACTGTCAACTTTTTCTTCAGACTATTTCCCTTTTCCATCCCTCAAACTTATGAACATTTTATCATCACCTTTGATATCGTAACATTATAAACAAGCGTCCAGGTGACAGCTGCATCTGCAATATTGTTACAAACGGATATCAACTCAGAGTTTCCTGTTCAAAAGCAATGATCAGGAGACTGGAGCTATGCTTTTGTTCCACCGGATTTTTGTTTGTGTTGAGACTCCGGCTGCACGTCGTAGTGCATCGAGCACTTTGAACTGTAGTCAAAGTTGATCTGTCAGCGATATTGCTTAATGTTACTTAGTCCGCGTCATCAATATTGTCGCTTATCTTTCAGCGTCGTCGTCGTCGTCGTTCAAAATAAAATCTTGCAAAGAACGGCGACTGATTTGAACCACTCAGCTAGTTGTGCTGCCCACGCAAAGTCCTATAGAGAAGGCATCCATCACGATCGACTTCCCTTTAGAAAAAGCCAGGCAGCGGAGAGGAAGCTAGATGATCTCGCAAAAGCGAGAGAGTCGATCCCAAGGACAAATATTTGTCACCAGTGCCGAGAGCAGCGACGAGGAGGACCAAAAAAAGTATGAACACTTCCTTGGATGATACATTCCTCACGGCTAGTTGTCATTCTATGCCTTACCTTCCATCATACCAAGTTTATCACCTCAAGTGCACGCGTTGGTGTCCTAAGTCTAAGTTCAAATTGTCGAAAGATAAATGACAATATTGATGACGCGGACCAAGTAGTAATATCTGGTCCTGGTCTTAACTTGCATTGTTGACAGATTCAGAAGAAGAAACCCCCCAGTGCTATGACAAAGAAGGCAAGCTCAGGCTCCACTGCCACGCTCAATTCCATCGAGTCTGACCAGGACAGAGCGCAGCGAGTGATGACGTCGCCAATGTCAGGTATGTGCTATTACACACTGATACATGTATGCACAGCATGCAACCTTGATGACGTCAATGTACATGTGCCCATGATGTCATTGCTGGGGACAACAGGGGACAAGACCCAAAAACAGCGGGTCACGTTTAGTGTGTACTCATTCTCCCTATCGGAATGGCCTGGAGGGTGCCAGGAAACCGATTGATCACCCTCCGGCGTTCTCCGTCTCTGAAGATCTGTCACTTAGTGATGCAATGTACATCTGATCGAGTCATTGTTAAGTGGGATCACTAATTGTAGCAATCCAATAGTTTGCATGTCGCCCAGTAATGAACTACTTGGGTTTCACGCATCTGCCGGAAGAACAGATAGAATTGATTTAATACACCATGCATAGAATTCGTATGAAAAATCAAAAAGGGGCACTGCATCTGTCGACAGCGTCTAGTCACAGTCTCCCTCTTCCGGGCGGTCCGGAACCCAGGGCATTGCCCATAACTGGGAAGTGTTAATAACTCTTTTAAAATCACTTACGTTTGAATGGGAAAGGGCCACAGACCTGCCTTATGTCATCACCGCTTCCACAAAATTGTCAAACGAGTGGTAATATTTCCACTAAAACTCGCCCGCAGGGTGCACGGTAGACCGAGGTTGTGACAATACAATGTGTGTAACGACAACCATTACGATAATTATGTATTTGTTGTGGTGACATCTGCCATCAGTTCGGCATGTCTCTTACCTCCTAGTAGCTGCATCCCTAGTCTGCTTCCATTGTCCTTGTTGTGTATTCTGTTCTCCTTCTTCTAGGGCCAGCATAGTCTTTCACCTGTTCTCATTATTCTCTGAAGTAGTTGTTTGAGATATGGGTGTACCGGCTTTGCTGTAGACCCTCGGTAGCATCGCACACATGGTGCTGGGCAGAGGCGAGGTAGAAGACACCCGTTGGCGGGCATCCACCAGCCCGGGCCGCTGCAAAAACCTACAGATACCTTACCATAGCGTAGAAATAAATGAAGAAGTGAGTCGCAGCTGTGCACTTTGTGTACGGGGTACTGTTCCACCACTGAGTTGTCAGAGGACATGTGCCTGGTCAGGAGGCTATGAGAGCTGTGCCGCTTAGGTTTGTCAGTTGTCACCATGCTATTTGCCTTGGTCTGGAGTTGAACATGAGGCTGCGAGATGTGCGTTGTTTAGGTTTGTCAGTTGTCGACATGTTGTAAACCTTAGACGCCGTTGTATTTAAACAAACGGCGAGGAGACAATAATTTGATAACCGCAATCAATAAGACAAGCTGAATCGACATTTGTGTATACTTTATTCATGCAATGTAAAACGGTGGAGACAATGTGCAATAAAACGTATTGATTGGCTTTTCCGTAGGTGGATCAATAGAGTCACTGAAGAACTCCAGCGTCACATCGCAGGGATCTGATGATCTTAGTCATTCGCGTCCGTCGCCTGCATCCGCACATGCCCGCAGTCCCGACGGGTGGCAGGTCGAGCCACGGTCCTCGTCGTCACACGAGGTCAATATCGACGAGGCGGTGTACGACTGTGCCGAAGCCGGACATCCACGCGATGAACAGTACATGAACACGACGGCCGCAGACAAGGATGAAGATGCCGAGAGCCTAATCTATGAAGCAACGGAGGGGTGCGATGGAGACGCAGCCAAACCAACCCAGTAAGCTGTATTTTACACTCATGCCCAAGTGCGGTTTTGCAAATCAGTACACATGTACTCGTACTGTCGTGGACATGGAAATCCGGTCAAGTGACGCGGGGCCGGCGCCCCTCAGTGCATACAGAACGGTGCATGCAGGGCACATGTTGATCGTATGCGTACTCACGGCTGCATGGCCAGTGCTCTGTATGCATACTCACGGCTGCATGGCCAGCGCTCTGGGCCGCTTGAGCTTCGACCGGATTTTCATGTCCACGACAGTATATGCCTTTGGACCTATTGATAGTAATGACTGGGCTGTTTGACCCGCTGACAGGGTTATTGCACTCCCTTGTATGGAGTCTGGGCCCAGTGGCAGTGACCAATGTCCCATTAATGGCACATTCCCGCCCTGGCCCGGTTCCCATTTTGCATTGCTTTGTTGGTAATCGTGTACAGAAGGTGTACACGTCTTGCACACACATACAAGCACAGCTTTCTGTATACCTAGTACTCAAGTAATGGCTACTTCTGTAGAATTTGTTTCCCTCTGTCAACATGGGAGATTGTCTTTGCTCTTCATCTGCATGCTATGTAATAGGATTTTTCCAGCAGAAGAGCCGCCGACATCTGCGCTGAACACTCCCGGGCGTGGGAACGGCACCAACTTAGCAATCTTCCCAGACTCACCGGAGCGGCAACGGCAGCATACACAGGAAGAGGAGACAGGTGCCCCCTCGGTTGTACACAAGCCACCGCCACCAGCAGTCAAGCCGCGGGTGAAGCGTGCCGTTGCTCCAGCAGTGCCTCCACATCCTAAACAACAAGTGAGAAAGTTAGGGAGAACAATGCAGCGCCACAGTCGTCCATTCACAAATGATAGGCTCCTGTTTGTTGAACTGATCCAATTCGGTAGCATGCACAATGAACGAGCTAGTTTAGTTTCATACTGAAGATGGGCGTTACCGGAGATTTGGTGAAGGTAGAGAGGCTTTCGTAGCAAAGAGACTCGCGGCATGAATTTAGTGTGAGTGTTGAGACTGGATAATGTGCAACTGGTTCCGGTGGAGTGTGTGGATTCGTAGAAAGATGATACTTTGGAGAGATGCAGTGTGGTCTTTCAGCCATTGTTCTGATGATCTGGGATTTCAATTCCTGCACTTTATTCCACCCTGCTATCTATTGCACAAGATGGAGACGCTGCAAAGAAAATATGCATTGTACTGGAGTCGACTCCTTGACGATGAGTCTCACACTTTTAACTCGAGTACTCGCGAAAGTCTCGCTTTTGCTGCACGGATCAGGTGTGCGTCTTATCAGTAGTAGATTGTACTGCTACACTGTATGATATGGGTTGTGACAATGGAGGATCATAGACGGATGAGAATCAGTACTAAATGGCATACAATTGCTAGCCCTCTCTTTTGTTTCTCTCGTTATTATTTAGTTCGCCGTGGTTGGCTACCACCCGACTTCTCATAAATATTGGCAGTCTTACGACGAGCCAGGAGATGTTGAATAAATAAATAAATAAATAATATTTATTTTTATAGAAAAGAAAAGGACATATGGATACGAGTTAAGAGTAACTCTCCATCACTGTAACTGGATACTATATACAGTCAGAAAGTGCAATAACTAGGCACAAAACTGACAGAGTACTGAGACATTCGACGTCCTGACACCTAGCTTCAACACATCTCCGTAGCGCTAACCGACAGCCTTCCAACTTGGAAGGTTCAAGGTTATGAAAAGACCAAAGAGGGGAAGGCAAGCGCAACGAAAACGAGCAAAAGCTACAGTCCCAACGGAACAAAGAATGTCGATTGTTACTGGACGATGACGAGACCAGTACAATATTTGACAAAGCGGTCTAACTACAATTCGAAGCAGCAAAGCAGCACACCACCCAACTTGGGTGGGTCATAAATATCAAAGATAAGTAAAGAAAGGGGAAGCTTTGCGAAAACGAATTGTACAAGCCGAAAGCCAAACTCCTACAGTACTCCTCATGCATGACATTGTGATGGACTAGTTGACTACAAAACAAGTTGTTGGGACTGTAGCTTTTGCTCGTTTTCGTTGCGCTTGCCTTCCCCTCTTTGGTCTTTTCATAACCTTGAACCTTCCAAGTTGGAAGGCTGTCGGTTAGCGCTACGGAGATGTGTTGAAGCTAGGTGTCAGGACGTCGAATGTCTCAGTACTCTGTCAGTTTTGTGCCTAGTTATTGCACTTTCTGACTGTATATAGTATCCAGTTACAGTGATGGAGAGTTACTCTTAACTCGTATCCATATGTCCTTTTCTTTTCTACATTTATCTATGGCTCAACATCCGAGTTTCAAATTTATTTTTATATTTTTATTTTCAAGAAAGGGTTTGCTCCCCACACCGGAGCTCGCGCTATTCCGCCGACTTTACTTGACACTTGACTGACTCATGACTGCCATCCAGAGTACACGAGAAGTCCATCGAACCTTCGACTCGGCAAACCTGCAAGAAAGCACCACTCCTTGCTCAATACACAGTGTTTCGGGGAATTCACCCCTCATCAGTTGAGCTTGAGTAGGCTTAGGAAGATTGTGCCTGAAGAGCACCACTTATATCGTGCTCTCCAGGCACAAACATCACCAGGGATACAAACTCACAGAGACGCTCCGTTTCCAGCGCGACAAGCACCTCGTGAACACCAGATAGCAGCGTGAGTCAGTGTCGCTCCTGGACGGTGAGACAGACGTCGAGGACCCTCGGTCATTCGCAACGCTGTCACCTCCAAACCAACTAGTCGCAAGCCCGCGCTGGGCACAACAGTACGAAGTAGTGGTTGCGACTTCGGCGATGACTTGTAAGAAAGGGTTTGCTCCCCACACCGGAGCTCGCGCTATTCCGCCGACTTTTTTGAGTCAGTGTCGCTCCTGGACGGTGAGACAGACGTCGAGGACCCTCGGTCATTCGCAACGCTCACCGTCCAGGAGTGACACTGACTCACGCTGCTATCTGGTGTTCACGAGGTGTTTGTCGCGCTGGAAACGGAGCGTCTCTGTAAGTTTGTATCCCTGGTGATGTTTGTGCCTGGAGAGCACGATATAAGTGGTGCTCTTCAGGCACAATCTTCCTCAGCCTAGAGAGCACGATATAAGTGGTGCTCTTCAGGCACAATCTTCCTCAGCCTACTCAAGCTCAACTGATGAGGGGTGAATTCCCCGAAACACTGTGTATTGAGCAGGGAGTGGTGCTTTCTTGCAGGTTTGCCGAGTCGAAGGTCCGATGGACTTCTCGTGTGCTCTGGATGGCAGTCGTGAGTCAGTCAAGTGTCAAGTAAAGTCGGCGGAATAGCGCGAGCTCCGGTGTGGGGAGCAAACCCTTTCTTACAAGTCATCGCCGAAGTCGCAACCACTACTTCATTTTTATTTTCATTATATTATAATAAAAAGCGCAGTGTAGAACACCTGTTTGTATCACATCTGCCTGTTGCCCACAGGACCGTGATCGTAGTGCATCGGTGCAGCTCAAGAGCGACCTCTTCTCCATGATGAGCGCCCTGGATGCCGTAGCGGACATGGACCCTCGGCAATTCCGCTTCTCCGCATCGCTGAGCGTCGACCTCGACGGCCAGCTGGCGATGGACCTGGCCCAGCAGGGTGCTAACTCTGGACCGACGGGTTCTGCTGGAGATGCTCCGCTGCCACTGCATGAGGACAGTGAGGGTGCTGGTGAGGTGAGTTGACTGTAGTACAACTGCATTATCGTCAAACCCTTGTGCTGTGTGCCTTTGTGCTGTGTGCCTTTGTGCTGTGTGTCACACCCTTGTGCTTAACAGCCACACTACTGCGTGCAAGGAGAAGTGGTCTTAGCGGACAGGTGGTCATTCATTCAGCATAGGTGGTCGTTCAGCACAGGTTCTGTGTATTGCTGGGCATGGCTTGATGCCTGATATGACCAGTCTCGGAAGACAGGTGGTCTCTGTAAAAAGGTTGGCTCTGATTGCAGTGGTTGCTAAATACAGGTTTTACAATGCGAGTACAGTAGAACCTGTCAAGGCGATCACCTGTCCCAGAAGACCACTGCAATTAGGACCAAGACAGCCACCTTTACACAGATATCATTGTACTTCAAAAAGGTGATGCTTGCATCTTGGACCAATACACCTACCGTATTTTACCGGTTGTAAGTCGACCCCCCTATCTGGAGGTCTCAATTCTGCGTTTTAAAGTTTTCACCCAAAGAAGCACTACTAACCACCTCCTGCTACTAACACATCAACAAATCATGTAAACATTCCTTATTGGAGGATATAACGTCCCAATCCTTGAAAAAGGCCAATAAACTGGCAAAATGTGTAAACATGGTGCACTCGTGCATGCAGTGCAGGTCATTTTTTTTGTAAGATACTGATAGTTCCCGGTTATAAGTCGAATCCCGGTTGTAAGTCGACCCCCACCCTTTCTCCTTCTATTTTAAGTCGTAAAAGGTCAACTTACAACCGGAAAAATACGGTACGTATAGCCAGTTATGTGGCAATATATTGCCTCAGCTTGTCACTGTGTCTTTGCTACAGTATCCGGCGGTCAATAGTCTCCGCATTGGTGCTTTTAGTGCCTCCATTCACTCAGATCCCCTAGTTTCATATTTTACATGTACTAGTACATGTGTACTTGTATACATATACAAAGTACTTCTGCATCTGACCCTAACCTTCCCTACAGCCAGCATACAGAGGTACATGTACAGTCAAATCTGTCGTAAGCGACCGCCCCTTGGTGCAAGAAAAAGCGGTCGCTTACGGCAGATGGTCTCTTACGGCAGATGTATGGTAAATCCGGCATACCAGGTATATGCTTCCATGTACTCAAATCGACGAGAATAATGTGATTTTTAATAATATTAAAAATCACATTATTTTATTGGATATTCAACGACGACCATACCCGTATAGTACGCGTATGCGACACGGCAGTAGATCGACACTGCCTGGACTTGAGACTGAGAGCTACAGCACAGCCTCAGTACAGGCCAGGCGCCAGTCGATCGCACTTGCAAGACAGCGCATTTTCACACTTTGCAGTTGACAGCGCACTGGCAAGTACAGTTTCGCACCTTACTGAACCTGGGTCGCGGTCGCTTACAGCAGATTCGAATGCAGCCACCGTGCATGAAATCGCGGTCGCTGGTCGCGCACAGCAGATGGTCGCTCTGGACAGATCAGTTTGTATGTGAAACCGTCGGTGCACGGGAAATCGGTCGCTAACGGTAGATGGTCGCCTACAGCAGAGGTCGCTAACGGCAGATTTGACTGTACTAGAGTTCTGTGCACTTGTGTCTGTGTGTCGGACAGGAGGATGACCAGCCGCCGCCCGTGCCCGTGAGCAAATTCCGCGACAGCGTTGTCTACGATGTACCGGAGGGGCTGGATGGCCGTGGAGAGCAAGGTGTTGGGTTTATGCCGACATCCGACTCCGGAGGCGACCACAGCCTGGACGACATTAGCGACAGAGCAACTCCCAGGTTTTCACCCAGGTACGATGGGTTATCATTTGCTGCAGTATCTGTTCTGTGCCTTTGCTAAGAACGAGTGGGGGGCATGAGCTATTGTTTTGATGTAGCACAAACCAGCAAAATAACTAGCTCTTCGTCATAGTCCAGCACTTAGTGATTTAACGATGAGCAATTGAAATCTATCCATTTGTATTCTAAGCAGTTTCCTCTGAGACAAAAATGCAATAATACTCATAAAAAGGACACACTTCAGGCTCATTACAAACATCTTGAAAGTTTTTGTCTTCACAAGTATACTTTCAAGCCTTCTCATCAGGTGAAATACAGGCAAGGGAAAAGGAACAGGAACAGTGGATTAAATACAGTAAGAAGGTGGTAAAACAGCGCAAAAAGAAAGAAAGAAAGAAAGAAGATAGCTAAAGTAAACAGCGAAAATTGCAATAATGACACAAAGGTGCAAATGCGAGAAAACTCAATAAGCGCGACATGTAGTGCGACAACAAGAGACAACCACTGGACATACATGTAACTAACGAGGTTTTGACGACCTACCTAACAGCCTAAGTGTGAATTTGATTTGTTTCTGCTTGCAAAGGTTGGGTTTCCTTGTGTGGATGTATACAGCTTCCAAAACATTCAGCAATCTAGCACTGCGTACACGTGACACAATCGAAAAACATGATGATTGTTTTTCGATTGTGTCACGTGTACGCAGTGCTAGATTGCTGAATGTTTTGGAAGCTGTATACATCCACACAAGGAAACCCAACCTTTGCAAGCAGAAACAAATCAAATTCACACTTAGGCTGTTAGGTAGGTCGTCAAAACCTCGTTAGTTACATGTATGTCCAGTGGTTGTCTCTTGTTGTCGCACTACATGTCGCGCTTATTGAGTTTTCTCGCATTTGCACCTTTGTGTCATTATTGCAATTTTCGCTGTTTACTTTAGCTATCTTCTTTCTTTCTTTCTTTCTTTTTGCGCTGTTTTACCACCTTCTTACTGTATTTAATCCACTGTTCCTGTTCCTTTTCCCTTGCCTGTATTTCACCTGATGAGAAGGCTTGAAAGTATACTTGTGAAGACAAAAACTTTCAAGATGTTTGTAATGAGCCTGAAGTGTGTCCTTTTTATGAGTATTATTGTATTCTAAGGCTTCTATTTGTCACCCTTTGTGACTGTATCCATTTTGATACGAAAGGACTGGATGCAAGTTCGTCATCTACTGTATATTGAATCTTCCCACAAAAGCTGTCATCTCGGAGTTATACCTCCCTACAACTAGCTTGTGTTTTCTTTTAACAACTGGTATGTCCTGATTCTTTGTAGGGTGTCTCCCATCGCCGATGATGAGAATCTCTACGATGAGGTGGCACGGAGTCGGTCACCCTCTCCAGTTCACAGCAATCATCCAGGGGATCTACCAAGCAAGGTACGGACGGACGCCGCTGTGAGCCTTAGCTGCAGCTAAGATTCTTGGACCTAGCCTCACTCAATGAATGATTGGCTGTTTGATCATCAGCGTGAGAGCCATGCTCCTCGAAAACAACCAGGAAAAGATCATATACGTCCTAGTAGAATGGGGAGGGCACTGGAATGTCCCCGAAACAATGTGTTTGGACTGCAGCCAACGGTTTGTCGCCATGCACACAGCTGGCTTGATCTGGTGTGCGACCCATTTTTTGATCAGCGCAAGCGGTTGGGTGCAGTTAGCAACCACTGTATTATACCCATTGACTTTGGTATGAACCCGGTATGAATGGGGAAATATTTCAAACTAATGATAACCTCTTACTGCTTCCCGTAGGATACACCTGCTACCAGCACGCCAGCAGGAAACGGATTGCTCTCGTGAGTAACTGATGTCAGATGTCCTCTGGAGATGTATACATGCATGCATTTGAATAGACCGGTGGTGTGCTGTTCCAGAGTCACTCTGTCACCAGTATGTACTTGCCATGGTGAATGCTGTGACATATTTATAGTAATGCTGTGACGTGCTGATTTGGTTGATCCCCCCCCCCCCCCCTCTCTCTCTCTCTCTCTCTCTCTCTCTCCCTCTCTCTCTCTCTCACACACTCTCTCTCTCCCTCACTCTCTCTCTCTCTCTCTCTCTCTCTCTCTCTCTCTCTCTCTTTCTGTCTCTTTCTCTCTCTTTCTCTCTCTCTCTCTCTCTCTCTGTCTCTCTCCCTCTCTCTCCCTCTCTCTCCCTCTCTCTCCCTCTCTCTCTCTCTCTCTCTCTCTCTCTCTCTCTCTCTCTCTCTCTCTCTCTCTCTCTCTCTCTCTCTCTCTCTCTCTCTCTCTCTCTCTCTCTCTCCCCTCCCTCCCTCCCTCACTCACTCTCTCTCTCTCTCCCTCTCTCTCTCTCTCTCTCTCTCTCTCTCTCTCTCTCTCTCTCTCTCTCTCTCTCTCTCTCTCTCTCTCTCTCCCTCCCTCACTCACTCTCTCTCCTCCCTCTCTCTCTCTCTTTCGCTCCCCTTTACACCCACCACAACCACCACCACATGTGCAACAGCGCATGCATGTCACAGTGCTGATCAAGAACATTTGACAACATTATGTGTGCTTTTAGCAAGCTGAAATAAATATTACAAGAACCAGCAGAATATATTGTAAAAGGAAAGAAATATTTTCTGTTCAGTTGCTCCAGTAACATCATGCGCTACACAGCTTTTCCAGCACTTTAGCAGCACAGAGTGTTGGAAAGATTAGAAAATCAGAACCGTGACCAGCTTGCATTGTACATGAGTGACTGTGGGCCATATATGTTTTTTTTTCTTTTTTTTCCGCCTTGCTAAGGCCTGCACCAGCGGCAACACTTGCACCAGCAGCAGTAGGGCCTCATGGCCGACCACTCTCAACAATAGCGGAAGAAGCGGCGATCGAAGCAGCGCAGATGCAAGCCGCAGCCGAACTGGAAAAGCTACAGAAGCGGCAAGCTCCTTCGGCACATGCAGGAAAGGAACCGAAAGACGCGAATGCAGCAAGTAAGAAGGAGAGACGGATCAGCTTCTTCCGCCGTCACCGCAGCAAGGAATCAGCCGAAGTGAAGAAACCACCTCCTAAGCCAGTTGACGCACTGAAAGCGAAAAAGAAGAACAAAGAGGACAAGGGGGCACACCGTCTTGCAAAGAAATTGGCTGATGAACGGTCCAAGCTGATTGCCATGCAGAAGAAAATGTTCGGGGTAAGCTATTTGCATCGCGTTCCATGCACTTGAAGTATCAACAGATCTATGCAATGTACATGGATTTGCTGCTTTGCGTGAGATAAATAACTTTCACTTTGCCCTCATGAATAGCCAGCAAAGCCAGCAAACGAAGAGAATTTGAGTGTGATCCTTTTTGAGGAACAAAAGTTCTAGTATGAAGATCCCTGGTCGTGTGTACAGCTGAGGATAGTCCGTGGGGTCGTTATCATGTGTGTGTGGGGGGGGGGGGGGGGGCTGGGGGATAAGGAGTTGACCACACCTGGCAGTCCTTCAATATTAGAACTGTGAGAGTTGCCTGCATCATGCTTCAACGGTCGTCAAACAGAGCTCTATTGCTGATGGAGCGTTGACGGGCCCTATAGCAATCATTCAGACTTTTAGATTGTTGATTCCCATTATGGAGACTTGTGCACAGTTCCGAGGAGTTTTGAGCATTAATGTGCGGCCATCGTGGAAGCCCGTATAGGGCATTCACGATTCACGATGCCTTTGTTTGTGTTTCTCTCACTACAGCTTAGTGGTAATGAGGAAGTGCTGGTAGTGGCCACAGCTGAACACACATGCATGGTCGGTCCGGAGCACTTCCTAATCTACGAATCCGGAGAGCAGTTTGACGTGCTCTTTATTGACAGCACACGGGAGCGAGAGCTACCCGAGGAGTCCTGGCTCGTGCGAAGGAAAGTCGATGGAACCTGTAAGTCAGCGGGAAATTCTAAATAAATCCGTTAACCCTTTGTGACCCCATCGATCGCTATCAATCGATTGTTATACAGTGGCATTAAACAAATTATATCTCTGGTGTTCCTTCACCGATTTTCATAAACAAAGCATCTACGTTTCGAGAGGATTCTTGGCTATCATGTCGACGTTATTTGAAGTCTCTAGGAGGTACGATGGCGCGCCGTGGGGGGGGGGGGGTGCAACTCACAGCATATGCTACTTTGATTGAGTGTTTACTAAACTGAGTATGGCTATTTCTATAACTGGGTTTCTGTTTCTGCTTTTCTTTGTCTGTACATACTTCGTCCCGCCAGATGGCTATGTGGAGGAGATCAATATGGTTGTGGTATGTGATGAGCAGCTAGCCTAGCCGCATGCAGTCGTGAATCTTACACACAATAGCTAGACGCCTGTTTCATACAGAGCTGCCTTAGAGCATGCAGCTGTCAAATCCTTGCCATGGGCGTATGCCAGCCTGTAACTTACTGCTGGCTTGTACTGTACTACAGTTCTGGCTAAAGAAATCCAACCTCATGGTTAAAGTGACCCCTTGTGTGTGCGTGTGCGTGTGCGTTCGTGCGTGCATGTGTATGTTTGTGTGTGTTTGGGCATACTGCAGCCGGTCATGGCATTTGACGAGCACAGCGAAGACGAGGGGTGAGTGATGCTGTGTTTACTGGTGTCAGCAAGCATTGTGTTATCCTTGGGCATTGGGCAGCTGTGATTTGAATCCCCAGCCCCTTGTAGCCCTTACCCACCACATGCACAAAGTACAGGCATACCTGCAGTCCTCTCTGGTGTTAAGGAAAGCAGCGCTGAAGAATGAACAAGACTAGGATTTCACAAAGCACAGCATACCGATATGTACATGGTGACTCGACTGTGTGTAGACAATAGTACATGAAAAAAGAGTGACAGAGGATATGATACCGATAATTGCTCTTCAGCGCTCAGCAGTACATGTGCTGTGTGTACTGAAATTGTTGGCAAGAGATGTTTTGCAGTCCGCCCCTAGTTGTGACGATGCCGTTCACGTTCCATCTGCTCACGTCGCTGGCCGTGCAATTGTGTGCACCTGCAGATTCACGGAGGTCGGGATTGACATCGGTGGCCTCGAGCCGACCAAAGTGAAAACGGTGGAGCTGGTCGAGAGCGACGGCGACGGTGACAAGCGCAAGCGTGGTCATGTGTACGACGAGGTGCGCCGCAGCATGCTCCTCGCCGACCGCGGTGATGACAATGGCAGTCCAACACAGCCCTGGCACCAGCCGCAGGTGAATCCAAACGCGATCCCGCCGCCCGATGTTCGTCCGCCCATCATTCCCGCCAAGAACTTCTAGTGCTGCCTACGTAGTCACAAATCCATCACAACATGTTGATAAGGGTAATAATAATAATGTAATATATTATCCCCTGCATGCCACACACACACACACACACACGCGCGCGCGCACGCGTGCGCACACACACACACACACGTGCTCATTCTTGCTTCTTACTTGTCACATAGGACTAGACAGAGCCATCGCAAAACAAATTATTTAGGAGTTTATGAGCTATATAGGAATATATCTAGGAAGACGTACAGTGCCAGGAAACGCCATAGGAAATAAGCTATTGTAGGAATAGCGAGCTTCTTTTCAGGCAATAGAACCGCCTGAGACACAGTGCACCAGGAAGGCAAGTTATGAGCTTTTTTTTCTTTTTTAAGAATAGCAGCATGCGTGGTCTTGAGATATCTTTCGTCGGTCGTCCCATCTTCTGCAGACGGTCTTCTTTTAATGACAACTAGCACATGAAAATGATACATCCCATCTCCCCTTCCCAACAGTACTGCCCATGCTCATGAAACGCATGATCTTTGTATAGAACGCACACGCCGCATTGCTCTCCTTTCTCAACTGCTCTGCAGTCCTTATTGCCTATGAATCCACGGTACATCCCTGTGACTCAGTGTGCTACTAACATTACCTGAATTAGTGTTAAGAACACCTCACATGATGCATCTTGTATCTCTGTATAAATGCTGCGCAAACTCCGAGTCACTTCCCAAAGCTACTCGCAGTGGTGTACAGTACCATATGAATGGATTTGACGGTAGAACTGCAGCAAGTTCCCGGTACATCATATGACCGGCCGAATACGGTGTAGATCTACAGTTAACAAGTAGAGTAGATGATAAGCAGGAAGTACAGTCGTCCCTCTCTAATCCGGCACCTTTTGCAACGGCATTTTCTGCCGGATAAACAAGGGTGCTGGATTATCAAATCCTGCCCTCCAACCCGGCTCACCTAGTAACGTACATGTTTGTGTCGTACGTCAAAATGTAGGGATTTTCTGTGTCAATCCAAGTACTTTGTCGCAAGTTTGTGGAATGCATGTCTGTAACATGCCATGTCTATAAATAACATACACTTGGGAATATCCTATGTACTGGCATAGGATATTGGCACCGGTACGGTATGCGATGTACAACTGCTGGATTAGAAAATCAAATTATGTACAGTTTGAGTGATTTGTTGCAGAAAATCGCTGCCGGAGGCGGAATTCAAGTGCCGGATTAAAGCGTAGAAAATGGACTGAAAAAATCCGTTTTGCCAGAAAGTGTGCTGGTTTGCAAGGGTGCTGGATAAACAAGTGCCGGATTAGAGAGGGACGACTGTAACTAGTTCACAACTGTGTCAGTGTTGAGCAGCGTTGTACAAAGCCTGATCGATCATGATTATGTCACTGATCTGGATAAGTCGACTACTGTACTAGCACTCTTCGGTACTTGCACACAAGTTTGCAATGCCAATGGACTGTGACTGCAAAGGGGGGGGGGGGGGTAATCTAGAGTTTTTCATGCCTATTACTGTTTAGGCCAATCATCAATGTCTTACGGACTACAGTGGTCCTTTTATAATTTGTATACTCCGGCACCATTTGTGCTACAGAAATTCTGCTGGATTAGGGAGGGTGGTGCTGCATGCCTTTACTGCTGCGGTGCATGAAGACTACTGAGGACTTTGGGCTACTGCATGATTCTTGTGCTGGTTCGTACTTTTTCTTTCTTTCTTTTTTTGTACTACAGGCACGAGCAAGAGTACATAAACTCTTGGTACGAGTCGAATGAAAAAATATGCCAAAGTTGGTGCATTCTTCAAAATGCCAGTGTATACAATTTTTTTAAACCAGAAAAATAATAATTATTATGTAGCGCAAAATAAAGCGAAGGAAAATAATAACCGGTCAAGCGCTAAATACAAACAGAAGCTGGTTCATACGCATGTAAATTATAATCATTGACAGCTACGGGGACGACTCCCCACTGTCCCCAGCAGCAGGGAGTACGAGCGCTCGTCACTGAGTACAATATTACTCTGAAGTATTTTAAAACATTATCATTCACGGTCTGACTCGGAGATCGAGAAGGGGTTTGTTCACAAAGCCAATTGCGGGCAAGTCCATAAACAGTTTATGCACTCAAGAGTCTTTTGGTCACGGAAACCATAATACACGTCATGTGCATGTACACCCTTCAAAGCGGTGAACCCCGGCCTTGATAGGCCACAAGCCTCTGGGTCATCCTAATAAAGATATTATTGTTATTATTATTATTATTATTATTACAGTCAGTATCGCCTATAAGCCGGTTGGCGGCTATAGTAATATGTGACCGACTACAGTGATCAATTTCTCAAATTCATTTTCATCTGCCATAACTGTACACACAGTTATCGCGTATAGTAATAATCGTCTTTATCACTCCCTTAGTATTGACTTCCATAGATTTTTGCCATACCTAAGCAGTCAAGTATTCCTGCATATTTCACTCCTTTAGGGCTATATTGACCGCTTATATTAATTTTGACTCCTTTTTAGCGATTGAACACAGGCTTTGGCTAGTCGTGATAAATCTAATATTGACTTCGTACTTGGTCAGTATAGGAAATAAAAGACTACGGCTTCGCCTCGGTCTTTTACTCGGCTTTTATTTCCTATATTGACCTCGTACTCGGTCAATATTAGATACATATCGCCTAGCTCATGATAGTGATCAAATTCATAATTATTTCGAAAGACCTTTATTACATTGATTATTTTTGCATCAGTTATAGTGATTGATGTAAAATCAAGTGGTGTCAGAGGAGAACAGGGTGTTTCCCACTGTTACTTCTTCGTGAAGAACTTACTTGTCCAGTGTTGTTTGGTGAGTTCTGCTTGTATAAGTTGCCAAATACCGGTATGCCTCCCGGATGATCGTGAGGAATTGCTGATCACGGTTGTGTGTCAGGAGCTGTAGCCAGCTATGCCGAGTGCGTATGTGCACGGCCCCCCTGGCCTGAGTCATTTTGCATTTGACACCCCACTGCACTCGCATACATAATCATTGCATGCAGAATAGACCGGTTTTTAATTAGGAGCATTTTGCCAGTTCACGTTACAGCCTGCAACACCAAAATGTGAAGGTGCACGTGCACGTGTTCTCATTTTTTGAAAAACAAGTCCTGCCGAAATCCCTGATTCAAACACTGCTACAAACATTTAATTGTAGAGACTCGATCGACTGGCACAAGTTGTTGTGCAAGCGGATTTTTCTCTGTTCTTCAGTAGGAGGATGCAAAAGGCCAACTGAAGCAAATCGTGGTGTCACTAACCTGTAAAAGAGAGCTCGATCCTTCAAAGTGAGATCGTTTCCAGTACTGCTACAGGATATTCTGTAAATCTTTGCTTCTGTCACATTTCTAAACAAATTGTACTAGATTCTCCGATTTCTACGACGGCAGAAATGGATCCAGCCCAAGTAGAAAAGGAGCTGGCAGCCTTTGCGGCGTTTCAAGACCGAAACTCACGCTGCAACTCCGATAATGGTCTGGAAGCAGCTGTGAAGATGAAGGTGGAGGGAAGCGATGTTTTCATTTCCACCACTGCCAAGGCAGGCACAACATGGATGCAGCAGATCTGCCATCAGCTTAGGAGCGGCGGTGATATGGATTTCGAGGAGATTTGTGACGTAGTACCGTTTCTGGAGACTGCTATGGACACAGGAATTAGTCTGGATGGCGAGCAGAGATTCCAGCCCCGTGTGTTCAAAACGCACTTTTGGGAACCCCTCACGCCGAAGGGCGCACGCTACATCGTCGTCGTTCGCCATCCGTACGATGTTGCCGTTTCCTTCTTCAAATTCCTGGAAGGCTGGATATTCGAGGCTGGAGAAATCTCTCTGGAGACATTCTCAAACGAGCTGTTCCTGAAGAGAGGAGCACCTGAAGGAATAGGAAATGCCGGATCTTTTCATCACATGGCATCGTGGTGGCCTCGCCATGCCGATCCCGATGTTCTGTGGGTGTTCTTTGAGGACATGAAAGAAGACTTGCAGGCGCAAGTGGAGCGCGTGGCTGCCTTCATGGACATCACCGACCCAGCCGTCATTGCGCAGGCCGTTCACAAGTCAACGTTTGCGTTCATGAAAGAGCACCAGGGACACTACGATGAGAATCGCTTGAAGCGCTCGCGCAATCTGGAGATGGGACTGAAGCCAGAAGCCGGTGCTGGTCAGGGCAAAGTGCGTGTTGGTGGGGGGCAACAGCATTTGCTGAGCGACCGCACCAAAGCAGCTATTGACGAAAAGTGGCGAGACATCTGCCAGCCTGTCATGGGCGCTGCTTCTTATACCGAGTGGAGAGCTGCATGGAAATCAGAACAAGGTTCAAAATAGATATTGTTTTAGGACCGAGAGATCAACTTATTTTGAATATTATTTGAAGAACATTCTATTTTTGTACCACAAGGTGCGAAATATCTGCTTCTTGTTTCTTAATTTTTTGTATAGGATTTTGTCATTTTGACCATAGCACTGCTGTTTACGCATTTAACTTATCCTTTTGTAGTCACCTGCTGAGCCGGTATTTAGGTTTTTAATTTCGTTTTACATGCTTTGTCTGTAGAAGTTCGCCTGGCTCGTGACAATGGTGCTTGTCTGTGTAGTATGTGTCAGCTTTACTTTGGATGTTTGGTCTTCCCATATGTGCTTCTTGCTTTTGAAGGTTTCTCCGAATAGTTATGCCCCCTTTCTAGGATGTCTTGTTTCATATTGTGTAGTTGTCTTTGATAAGGGGCCGTCCGTAATTATCGATCTTTTTCACGAAGAGAAAAATTTCCGTTTATGGGTATAATGTGGGTTGAAAGTTTCGTTTTGAAAAATATCGATAGCTGAAACATCATAAATCTAGTCTAGCTGTCAAGTCAATATATTTTTCGTTCAAGGGGGTGGATGTGGGGAGGGTCATAAGTAAACTTTTTCGTTCCGTGAAAATTATCGTTATTGCCGGATGGCCCCTTATTCATTGCAAATTTGCATTACATATACCGCGGAAAGAAGAGAAACTTTCATATGCCGTTAACGGCTCACGTGGACAAGGTGTACATACATTGCAATGTGCTTCAGCAAATGCGGAAAGACAAAACTCCTATTGCAGTGTGTAAGACATTTTGTTTGTGATCATCATCATCATGGCTTTGTGTACCAAGTGTGCGGATCACTTTCAAGCTGTGTGAACTACTATTAGTAGTTTTTTTCCTCTTTTTTTTTACGAGTACAAATTTATGTGAACTACTAGTACAGTCATGTACACGTATGGCCCTATGCATGGGGGTAGCCACCAGCTTATGCGTAAACGTGGGAAGCTGCATGAAGAACCAGCACAGAAGGAACCGTCATGAATTATAACACTGCTACCATGGCTACAGTGCATTTCAAAACTATAGACGCGTAGGGTTTTTGAAATATTTCAAATTTGGCTGGAACTTTTTGAGAATAGTTTTCGGAATATTGCTCAGGATCGCTCCACAATTACTCTCATTATAGTTTCTAAAGGATTGGATAACAGACGCCCAATTTGGAAAAATTTATGCACAAAGTGATCACAGATTTTATGTGGTATAGATGCTGGCATAACGGTTTTTGCCTAGGTACGCGTCTATGGGGCTGTTAAGTGATGACGTCACAGTTCCTTCGATACGCATAGCAACGATCCCACTGGGGACAAACAAAAGTAGCGTCGTCGCCACGGTGCACCGTCAGTGGCAACATAGGAATCGTGTACATTTCTTCGTTTCTTCTTTGCTGTTTTCAGTGAATGTTTTCAGTTCTCTTTCTCCTTGATCTCGACGGTGTTGTCCTGCTCATTACCTTACTGAGACGTCTCTTGTGACTGTAGCCAGTGTCACGGAGGATGTTATTGGCGTGACGAGGTAGATCGCCGAGATCGAGCGTGAAAAACGCTCTGCGTTCCTGTAGAATGTCTTCTGGGATGGCGTATCCATGGTCAACAAAGCCAAGGTGCAAGACAGCATAAGAGATCGTGTAAACGATGTGAACTCCAAAGGGTAAGCTCCTGAACAAGTGGAAAGATATGTGTATTTACAAACTCTCTCTTCATCCATCGATTGCCGCTATGCATTGCATTTTGTCTTCACAGATAATCTGGACCAATAAATTATATTGTGACTGGAGAGTGCAATCGTGCTTGGGACACATCCCAATGTCATCACATGGCTGTGGTGACTAGTGTATACCTGGGAGAGTTTTTCCTCAACTGAGACGGAGTGTAGGTGGATGGATTATGAGAAATGCGAAGATGTGGAGTAAGTTGTGTCGAAGAAATGTTTAATAAAGTATAATTTACTTTACACTCAAACATACACTGTACATGTACATGTAACATCATGATAATGATTCCATCTTCATATCTCCTCAACAGGTACGCCATACGCACCGAATACATGGTGTGTGTGCACGCGCGCGCGCGCGCGTACATGCACACACTCTCATGTGTGGCCGAGTTGGCCGGATGAACAGACCACGCATTTGCACGAGGTGTCCGTCATGTCATTGGAATGCTGTACTTTATGACTTTATTCCAAAATAGTATGTCTTGCCCCTGTCAAATGGAGTTTGTGTCTATGCTCAGCGGGTATCGGGTCACGACGCCACACTGCAGTCAGCGCTGGAATTAAAATAGCACTTCATGGATTACCGTATATTCTCTATTATAAGCACAGGTTTCCATTACTAGCACAGTCTCTAATACTAGCACACTGTGAGCACCTTTTGAAATATTATAAGCACAGTCTCTATTATTAGCACGGTCTTGGTGGAAATCAATGCTGCATGCATCTAGCATGTATTTCTTCTTGCTCTGTATGGATGTATTGGTTGAAAAAATATAAGCACGGTCTCCAATATAAGCACGGGGTAGAGGGGTGTTGAAAAATATAAGCACGGCGCTTATAATAGAGAATATACGGTATTTTAACTAATTTCCTTTGCGTTTACATGTACTTTGTTGAGCCCGTGGTTTCATTTCTGTGTTCTGCTATGATTGGCCTCTGGAAATAATCGGAGTGGATGTCATTTTTGTCATAATGTGTGTGCCTTGTGCAACAGGTTCAAGGCTAGATGCACTTCACATTCGGCGTGCGATCTCGGCGTCTGGGACCTGATAACGTCTTGGTTGGATGGGTAATCAAGGATGATACTACTCGGCACACCAATGTACATGTCAATGTATTTTTTACTTTTTCAGAGCTGCACTATTTACGGACGAATGTGTCTGTTAGAGAGGAAATAAATAGTATTCACAAACAAGTCCCACTTATTGTTTCTGTTCGTAAAAGGAAATTGCAATTTTTTGGTCATATTGTTCGTTCCGGCTGTTTGTCATTGACTGTTCTTCAGGGTTGTGTTGCTGGAGGTCGTGGCCGAGGCAGGCCCAGAATATCATGGCTTGATAATATTATTTCATGGACTGCACTTGTCGTGCAGTTCCTGCTCGCTGCTGCACACGATCGATTTTTATGGCGCTCGCTTGTTCATACTTGCTCTGTGACGCCCCGACGGCCTTAGGGCTTGTGATGATGACTGTTTTAGTATTTAGTATTTACGTCTTGATGCTTACTTCGGTGCTAGCGTGTTTCCCCCCGGATTATTTCTATCATCATGCGTGTTCTTGGGCTGAGCGAGCATATGCACGAGTGTGCAGCTATAACCCCGTGTATCTTTGGTTACACTTTGTTCTGCAATGCATGTACCTTGTAACAATATGTGCTTGCACTGCTTTGTGTGGCCTGCGTATTTCAGGACTATTCAGTGCATTAGACCCAGGTTGGTTTGGTTGATCTCTTGTTGCGTCGCTCTGTGTTTTGTATTCATCAATTTCTGGGCTTGAGAATTGAGCTGGTGTGTGGTTCCCAATATCAAAACATCATGCTGGTGCTCTGTGTTTCGATTATCGACTGTCCGAGCAGTCACGATTCATTACCAGAACGGTCAATACTGTAGTCTCTCGACGTGTTTGTCTTTTTGTGTTTTCGCCGGGGGAATTAGCAGTGACGTTGCACATAGAACGGCAGTGTTGCATCACTGGACGACCCTGCCTCTGCATCTGATTTCATGTCCCCAGGATCTGGTGCAGATACACCAGACAGTCACTTCCTGTAAACACACAAACAGCAAAAGAAGAGATCCTGCAAATCAGGAAAACCATTGTGGAAAATATCGAGTAGATCATACACCATTCAATAATCTGGAGTAATTACAGTGAGACAAACACTTCAGTGCTCTCTCTCTCTCTCTCTCCATCCTTCCAAAATACCCTGTAACAATTCCCTAGAATTATTTTATTTTATATTCTCAGGACATCATTCTGAACATAATAACTTCTTCCATGGGTCTTCAATCACCACGGAGGGCGAGAATATAATCTAAGTCATGCAGTTTACGGGAGGTGCGAGCTGTCATGGATATAGAGGCTGATATTATTGTGCCAGCGTGAGGGCAGAGACAGAAAGAAGACAGTGATTTCTTGAACAACTCACCTACATATAATCGAATCCACAGGGAGCGCTCGTACTTTGATCCATCAGGACGCGAAGAATCTTCAAAGCACTCTCAAACACGGAGTTTTACAGTGGGCAGCCAATTTCACAGCCATTACGAAGGCCCTCGACGACTACAGGAGATTTGTAGAGGAAAGAACAAGGAGTAAAGAGTGACAACAATCGCTTGAAGAAAAAGCAAAGAAAAACTGCTCACCTACATAATATGTAGGTGTATTATAATCGAATCCACAGGGAGCGCTCGTACTTTGATCCATCAGGACGCGAAGAATCTTCAAAGCACTCTCAAACACGGAGTTTTACAGTGGGCAGCCAATTTCACAGCCATTATGAAGGCCCTCGACGACTACAGGAGATTTGTAGAGGAAAGAACAAGGAGTAAAGAGTGACAACAATCGCTTGAAGAAAAAGCAAAGAAAAACTGCTCTCTCTCTCTCTCCAGTCATTTAGATGCTGTTGCCTTTGACAACTGGTTCCATCCAGACAAGAGTACATGGTTTTCATGTACTCTTGTCAGTCTTGATCCAGAGGACGCGACTTTTGTTTGTCCCCATGGCCCAGTGCTCTCCGTTGCTATGCGTATCGAAGGGGCCGTGACGTCACACTTAATAGCAAAAATGGACTGTAGAGACTCGATCGACTGGCACGTACTACAAGTTCAACAACTACAAGCACCGTAAACATGTTTTTCGATTTTGACAGCATGCATGTTACAAGGCGAGGACGCGTAGTGCAGTGCTCCTGACTACAACCATAACCGGTTGGCAGAGTCCCGGTCGCCTTGTATTGTAACATGCTGTCAACATGCTGTCAAAATCGAAAAACAAGCAAGGCTTCTGTATACTATAAGCACCGTAAAGTACCGCCAGAGCGGCCCCGCGCCGCGGCCCGTCTCGCGAGCGCCCCACCTTGATTTTACAGCCAGGGAAAGGAAAATCGTATGGCAGAGTGTAACGAAGTGTGTACGATGTGAGAACCTTAGTAAGGGCACACTTGGCAGGTTTTTTGTGTGGAACTAACTAATTACTTACTTGTGTCCGCTCGAAGGTACGGATTGACTGCAAAATGTGGAATATGTGTACACGGTTCGCGTCGTATGACCTACAGACAGCAGACCACCTCCACAATACGACCACGAAAGGACGAGATCGGGTGCCAATGGTGGGGCGCTCTGGCGGTACTTTACGCGTAATAGTTGTTGTGCAAGCGGATTTTTTCTCTGTTCTTCAGTAGGAGGATGCAAAAGGCCAACTGAAGCAAATCGTGGTGTCACTAACCTGTAAAAGAGAGCTCGATCGTTCAAAGTGAGATCGTCTCCAGTACTGCTACAGGATATTCTGTAAAGCTTTGCTCCTGTCACTATTTCTATATAGATTCTCCGATTTCTACGACAGCCGCTGAGAAATGGATCCAGCCCAAGTAGAAAAGGAGCTGGCAGCCTTTGCGGCGTTTCAAGACCGAAACTCACGCTGCAACTCCGATAATGGTCTGGAAGCAGCTGTGAAGATGAAGGTGGAGGGAAGCGATGTTTTCATTTCCACCACTGCCAAGGCAGGCACAACATGGATGCAGCAGATCTGCCATCAGCTTAGGAGCGGCGGTGATATGGATTTCGAGGAGATTTGTGACGTAGTACCGTTTCTGGAGACTGCTATGGACACAGGAATTAGTCTGGATGGCGAGCAGAGATTCCAGCCCCGTGTGTTCAAAACGCACTTTTGGGAACCCCTCACGCCGAAGGGCGCACGCTACATCGTCGTCGTTCGCCATCCGTACGATGTTGCCGTTTCCTACTTCAAATTCCTGGAAGGCTGGATATTCGAGGCTGGAGAAATCTCTCTGGAGACATTCTCAAACGAGCTGTTCCTGAAGAGAGGAGCACCTGAAGGAATAGGAAATGCCGGATCTTTTCATCACATGGCATCGTGGTGGCCTCGCCATGCCGATCCCGATGTTCTGTGGGTGTTCTTTGAGGACATGAAAGAAGACTTGCAGGCGCAAGTGGAGCGCGTGGCTGCCTTCATGGACATCACCGACCCAGCCGTCATTGCGCAGGCCGTTCACAAGTCAACGTTTGCGTTCATGAAAGAGCACCAGGGGCGCTACGATTCGAATCGCTTGAAGCGCTTGCGCAATCTGGAGATGGGACTGAAACCAGAAGCCGGTGCTGGTCAGGGCAAAGTGCGTGTTGGTGGGGGGCAAGAGCATTTGCTGAGCGACCGCACCAAAGCAGCTATTGACGAAAAGTGGCGAGACATCTGCCAGCCAGTCATGGGCGCTGCTTCTTATACGGAGTGGAGAGCTGCATGGAAATCAGAACAAGGTTCAAAATAAATATTGTTTTAGGACCGAGAGATCAACTTATTTTGAATATTATTTGAAGAACATTCTATTTTGCGTACCACAAGGTGCGAAATATCTGCTTCTTGTTTCTTCATTTTTTTGTATAGGATTTTGTCATTTTGACCATAGCACTGCTGACTTGGAGGTTTTGAGTCAGCCCCTTTCCACACAACAATTGGCACTCCACGGGAGACTCACTTTCCCCTGTGTTATTTGTAGTCTATCTAGACGCAGCACTGCGCGATGTCCTCGCCGCAGCCCCACCTCGCTGTCCTGCAGATAGCACTCTACCAGTCGACATCATCTACGCGGACGACACCGATTTTGTCAGTACCTCATCTGCTTGGCTAGCACAGCTTGAACCTCTTACCGCAACAGTTCTCAAGCAATGGAATCTCCATGTCAACGCAGAGAAGACCAAACACACAAAACTCACCCGGCAGCAGGATCGAGTCTCGGAAGAATGGAGAATGACGCAAAAGTTAGGTTCCCTGATTGGTGACGACGAAGACATCACCAGGCGAAAGCAGCTCGCTACAGCATCCTACAGAGCAATGTACAGTCTTTGGAAACGGAGGACATTAGTGCGTGAAGAATTGAGACTGAGGCTGTACAACGCATTCGTGATTCCAATCTTACTGTACAACAGCGGCACCTGGGCACCCACTTCAGTGGCCGAGGCCCAACTGGATTCGTTTCACCGCAGGCAGTTGCGTAGTCTCATCGGTATTAGGTGGCCACAAACAATAAGCAATGCTGCTCTCTACAAGAGGTGCAAAGCACAACCAATAACTAACTTTGTTCGCCTAGCCAGATGGAGACTCTTTGGCCATATACTGCGCATGCCTGACGGATGTCCTGCTGTGGCGGCTATGATTAACTACTACCAGGTGAAGGAAAAAGTGTGGAGAGGACGGCCAAGAACGACTCTGCCTATCGTGCTATCCCGTGACCTGCAGAGAGTGGGGCGGAGGGGACTCAAGACGTTGTCTGGTCTCCTCTCCCTCCGGGCGATTGCACAGGGCAGAGGGGAGTGGAAGGACCTCAGTTTGCAAGGACGTCTGCAAGTCCAATAGTGGCGTCTACGACTAAAACCAAATAATATTGCTCCAAAATATCACAATATGTACTGCTTTTCATAACTGCTGTGGTAATAATAATTAACATCTTTTTTGGTATTAAAATACCAACACAATTCCTCTCTTTAAAACGTAGTGCGTGGATTTGCATCCATCTGCCACCATTTTACTGGATTATTCTCAAAACGGAGTCGACAATGCCCTATATTCTGTGTCTGCATCCTCTGTTCAATCTGAGCAATGCTGTCATGTGCCCCTTAGCAGGTACGTCTAGTTATTGTATTTCTATTTCTGTTGTCGTTGCTCTTTTATTTCCATGCCGCGCCGAATGCTCGGTGCTCATTTCCCAAGTCCATTTAGCACGTGCGAATTTGTGGGGGGTTTACCACCGCTGACATTGACGCGTAAGTGCATAATAATAATAATACTGCTGTTTACGCATTTAACTTATCCTTTTCTAGTCACCTGCTGAGCCGGTATTTAGGTTTTTAATTTCGCTTTATAGTACAGTCAACTTCGCCAATAACGACTGCGGATATAACGACAATTCGCAAATAACGACAGAATTTCCATGCCCAGAGCAAAGTCCCATCCCACTGTAATACATAAAATGAGACTTTGGGTATAACGACACTTCGTGAATGAGGACACCTTTTTTGATGCCCCGCCGAGTGTCGTTATAAGCGAAGTTGACTGTACATCTTTGTCTGTAGAAGTTCGCCTGGCTCGCGACAATGGTGCTTGTCTGTGGAGTATGTGGCAATTTTACTTTGGATGTTTGGGCTTCCCATATGTGTTTCTTGCTTTTGAAGGTTTCTCCGAACAGTTATGCCCCCTTTCTAGGATGTCTTGTTTCATATTGCGTTTTGAAAAATATCGATAGCTGAAACATCCAATAAATCTACAAGTAGTCTAGCTGTCAAGTCAATATATTTTTCGTTTGAGGGGGTGGTTGGGTGTGGGGAGGGTCATATCTAAACTTGTTCGTGCCGTGAAAATCATCGATATTGCCGGATGGCCCCGTATTCATTGCAAATTTGCATTACATGTACTGCGGAAAGAAGAGAACTTTCATATGCCGTTAACGGCTCACGTGGACAAGGTGTACATACATGTACATTGCAATGTGCTTTAGCAAATGCGGAAAGACAGAACTATTGCAGTGTGTAAGAGATTTTGTATGTGATCATCATCATCATGGCTTTGTGTACCAAGTGTGTGTTTCAAGCTGTGTGAACTACTAGTACAGTCATGGTATATACAGAAGCCTTGCTTGGTAGTTTAACATGTTTTTCGATTTTGACAGCATGTTACAAGGCGAGGACGCGTAGTGCTCCTGACAGTCATGTACACGTATGGGGGTAGCCACCAGCTTATGAGTAGACGTGGGAATCTGCATGCATTGTTAGATTTCAAAACTGATTGCGGGTGACAGTGGTTCATTTCCACTTTGAAGTACCGAGTTTAGGTATTTTGGGGACATCAAAGCGGGCATCCGTTCGCTGCTCTAACTTTACCCATACTAGTTTTCGAACACTGAACATCAATGCGATGCTCAACGACATTCCTGCGCATTGTGTTAGTAGACAGGAGAGAGAGAGACAGAAAGACAGACAGAGACAGAAGTGTGTGTGTGCGTGTGCGTGTGTGTGTGTGTGGCGAGAGAGACAGAGACAAAGAAACACAGAGAGAGAGACAGAACGTGAGAGAGAGCAACCCAGTGGCCAGCAGGACCGCTCATTACTGATTCTCCAGACATTGAGCTCTTTCAACCGCCGTGCTAGGTATCTTGTCCATAGCTCAGAGTTACTGGTATATGCACTGGCTGATACGATCCGAATGAAGGCCGGTGAATAACAGCACTTTAAAAAATCAGTTCAAAGCGAAATAAATAAATAATGTTACATCATCAAGATACAGCAGCTACCAGCGCCATTCTCTGTTCTTGAAGCATCACTAGTGGTCGAGTTGCACTTAACATAAAAGCGAAAGGGATAAAAACAATACCAAATTCAAGGTTCGTTGCCACGGCCACCAAGTGAACTTTGAATCTGTACAAACTTCACACTGTCCCGGATTTACGCCGCAACAGAAGCTCTTAAAAAAAAGTAGAAGCTGTCAGAGGGGAAAACATCAGCCATGAACCATGAATGGCGGGCCAGTCCAAGAAGAAGCCTCAAACTCAAAGAGCACTTCAGCTCGTGCCAGTATTAGCCGCAGTATTATTCTGATATTCACGTAGCTTCAATGATAAAGTGAACGCTCCAATAACGAAGAAAACTAGGACTATGAAGATTGAAAGACAAACAGGCCACCTGCACCATAAAAAAATTTAAAAATTAAATAAAACAATCTAAGTTTGCATTCAGATATCGAACACATGAGTTTGAAGACCAGAGCAACGGACCCAGTGTGGACCAGCACACTGATGCCAGTGCAGGGGCTCAGAACTCCTCAGGGAAGGCCAAGCAACACTAGCTCTAGACTCAGTCCATCCAACAATGGTTACAACTTACAAGTTATATTTTGTGGAATGGAGGGGCAGCACACTGTCAAGTTAGTTGTTGTAAAGAGTTTTCCATCCGCCCACTACAGCAAGCATCTAAGGCGAAAAGGGGCTCTCCAAGCACAACATTGGGGAGTGTATTCGGTTGTAAGGTTGCAAGGCTTACTTGGCAGCGTGTTCCGCTTTCCATGCTGCCCTCCATTCAACATAGCTGGCAGCGCCCAGAACCGGCTGGCAGATATCTCGCCACTTCTCGTCGATCGCTGCTTTTGTAGCATGGCTCAGCAAGTGCTGCTCTCCACCACCTACGCGAACTCGACCTCGCCCGGCGCCTGCCTCAGGCTTTAGACCCATTGCTTCGTTGCGCAGTCGCTTTGTGCGCCGTGCACTGTACTGCAACTCGTGCTCTTTCATGAACGCAAACGTCGACTTGTGAACGGCCTGCGCAATGACGGCCGGGTCGGTGATGTCCATGAAGGCAGCCACGCGCTCCACTTGCGCCTGCAAGTCTTCTTTCATGTCCTCAAAGAACACCCACAGGACATTGGGGTCAGCATGGCGTGGCCACCAGGATGCCATGTGGTGAAAGGCACTGCAGTTAGTCGGGCGCTCCTGGTCCGGCCTACCCTGCTTCAGAAACTCCTCATTCGTGAACGTGTCCAGGGAAATCTCGCCGGCCTCGAAAAACCAGCCCTCCATAAACTTGAAGAAGGACACGGCAACATCGTACGGATGGCGGACAACGACAATGTAACGGCCGCCCTTCGGTACGAGCGGCTCCCAGATATGCGTGTTGAACACACGCGGCTGGCACGGTTGCTCACCGGCATCCAGATCAAAGCCAATGTCCTGGGCAGTCTCGAGAAATGGCGATACATCGCTAATGTCCTCAAAGTCCATATCACCCCCGCTCCGCAGCTGATGGCAGATCTGCTGCATCCACGTCGTGCCTGCCTTGGCAGTTGTACACACGAAAATATCACTATCCTTCGCTTTCATATTTAGTGCAGCGCCCAGGCCAGCGGAGGTCGTGAAGAGCTTACCCCGTTCTCTGAAAACTTCAAGGGCTGCTAGCTCCTTGTCCTGTAGTTCAGCATCCATAGCATGAGATTTTGAGATTGGATCGAGTAAAGACGAATTTTCGCAGGCTTTGGGCAGCTAGTATAGCTGCAGGCTGGTTATTCGGATAATTGTACGGTAAACTGATGTACCGAATACTGCGGACAACGCTGTGGCGTGGAGCATATAGTAGATCTACGCGTGAATATAACAATTATTTGCAATGGCTATGTCGAGTAGAAATAAAAAGGAAGCCGACAAGATCAAAGCAGGGAGTCGTCAAATACCATTATACGACTCCCTGGATCAAAGATCGCGCTTTCCGCTATACGCGTGTATACGGGAGTCGTAAAAATATTTAGGGAGGTTCTGCTCTACGTTTCGGGAACGCGACGCAAAGAATCACGCGAGCTCTCTCCGCGTTCCCGTAGAGAAGTCACGTGGAATGTGTACTGGGAATTTCCCCTTCCATATTTGGCAGTTTTCTGCATGCAGTTGATCGATACCCAGCAAATCCGTACGCATTTTCTCTGCGTGTGCCACAACGTAGAGAACTTCATAATCATCATGATCATCTCCGCGTAGAAATCTGGAGCCAAAACACGCGAAGCCGTAGACTATAATTATACTAAGGGAAACTGAACGCCAAAAATAAGTATGGCTTATCCGAAGGAGAATTGGGCACTGATTAGGCCTTGACGGATTATGCTAGCATAATTTTTCGCATAATTCCTACCAAAATCGAATAATCGCATAATTCGAGGCAAATTGCATACGAATTGCATAAAATTGTAATAATCCGCCTGTTCGCATCAAATTCCATACAGTTGTACATGTTCTATAAGTACAAGTACAAGTAGATGCACTAGGAAGTTGTAGGTTTACGACTCCCTTGATAACATGTCCAGTCCACTACAATCAGTGATGGTCGTAGCTACATGTACAATGTATGTCGGACGGTGCGTTGTTTCCGTTGAACTTTTGCTACTAGAGAACGCCCTCTACAAAAAAATTCCCCTTTTATTTTGCACAGAACCATTATGCATTAGCAGCATATGTGAGCATAATGCGGCATAATATGATAACTTTTAGCATAAAAATAGCATAATTCTGCAATTTTTTCAGCAATGCGAAAAGCATAATTTCACGAAAATATTAGCATAATCCGTCAAGGCCTAGCACTGATTCCGATGAGCTATGTCTCGAGCCGATCAGAGAAGAGGAACCGTGTCAAATTTCATAAATAACACCTTCCATATTTGGAAAATGGGCTTGATGACGTGCGTACTGCTTAGCTGTCACCATGCTGTGCATGCTCAGCAGTGTAATTGAATGGAAGAAAACAATTACTTTGGTGTTTTGCAGCTCTATTTCGTTCCCTGACGGTACCCAAATCTAGATGTAGGAATCTGTTGAGCAGGAGAGTGACACATGTCTTCCCGAAGGCTGTCCAGCCTGCAGTGCTGATGAAGAAGACACGAATAACACCCCAAGATCGATTGTAGCGAATTGAAAAACTCATGGTGAATTTGCTTCCACTCCAAGGCAATGTCGAGGTATGAAGGGTGCTTGTACTGCCTTCCAAAGTGAAGCGGAGATGAACATGGCTTTGCATAGCTGTTGTTCTACGCCAACTTACCTACTCTTGCTGGTACCGTAGTGGTATATTGCAAATTTCGTGGACGAACAATTTGAGTCACTAGTGGCTAGTGAGCAACACTAACAGGTGAGATTTTTCAATTTGACAAAAATTGTTTTTGTTTGAGAACAGACGGTGGCAGTCATTAGACTCAGTAGGTGTCTCTCTGCGGCTTCTTTCCCTTCATCGATAGGGTTGTGCTTGAAGTCGAAATAAATAGAACATGTGGAACAAAAATCTGATCATGTAATTCGAATTTCAATTTCAAAGTATGTGTACATCAAATCACAAAAATTTCAATATGGTGCTGTCCACTGAAAAAGACTGGGGGCTGGCAGCAATGGAAAGGGTAGAAACGAAACCAGTAAAGTAGAGTATTCATAAGGTAGAGGGAGTTGAAAACGGGAGACGAGTAGTGAGCATTTCAGTTCGAAGTAGTGTCAATAGACAGCATTGTGTTGCATATGTTCTGAATATTGTGCGAATCTAATAATTGGCAGAGGGTAGTGATTAAGCAGAGTATTGTTACAATACGAGGTACTTTGTGAGCAGATAGCAATCAATATCACGACATGGTTTAGACAGGAACTCATAAATGTCAAGAAATTGATAATCCAAAATTATAATTATTATCCCCTGAGTAGTAAAATTATTATGGTGTTCTCCTGTGTTTACATGCAGAGCCTTGACGTTGCTGGACGAGCGACAATATAAATTACATAAACGTGTAGCTCATAATGTGGGATGACTGCCGTATTGCATTGCCAACGCAAACCCATCCTGTGTCAGTGCAGCCATCCAGCAACGTACTCCCCGGACCAGATGCCGCTGCAGCTGAACACCATGCCGATGGAAAGCCAGGAGTTGATGGCGAAGCATTCTGGTCTGCACAGTACAAGGCAAAGAACAATAATATTATGAATTATAACGCATTGTAATCCTTCCCACACATCTTTGTAAAAACAAACAAACAGTGCCATTATCACAACACTTGATCAAGCATCTTGATGGAGGTATTTTCCATTGTGCTGGCCCAGCATCTGCACCAGGAAGACCATGTACACTTACAAGTATCTTGTGTGTGTGTGTGTGTGTGTGTTTGTGTATCCGTCTGTGCACACGTGTGTGTGTGGGGGGGGGGGGGGCTGGGGGTAGACGCATATGTGTATGGGTAGGAGTGTGTGTGTGGGGGGGGGGGGGGCTGGGGGTAGACGCATATGTGTATGGGTAGGAGTGTGTGTGGGGGGGGGTTCACACACATGTGTATGGATGTGTGCGTTGCATGCGTGTGTCTGTGGGATGGGGTGGGGGTGCACGCACATGTGTACATGTGTGCGCGCAATATAGAATGTGTGTATTGTGTTCGTTGAACACAGGGAGTCCTCCTGATTCCATAAACTTTGTGATCATTGTGATTTTATGTGCTTTGAAGTTGAAATTCGCAATACATGTACTGATGCTTGATTAGATTTATGTTCCACATGTTCTATTTATTTTATTTTACTTCAAGCACTTGTACTATCAAGCACAACCCTACCAATGAAGGGAAAGAAGCAGCAGAGACACCTACTGAGTCAAATGACTGCCACCGTCAGTTCTCAAACAAAAACAATTTTTATCAAATTGAAAAATCTCACCTGTTAGTGGTGCTCACTAGCCACTAGTGACTCGAATTGTTCGTCCACGAAATTTGCAATATACCACTACGGAACCAGCAAGAGTAGGTAAGTTGGCGTAGAGCAACAGCTATGCAAAGCCATGTTCATCTCCTCTTCACTTTGGAAGGCAGTACAAGCACCCTTCATACCTCGACATTGCCTTGGAGTGGAAGCAAATTCACCATGAGTTTTCCAATTCGCTACAATCGATCTTGGGGTGATATTCGTGTCTTCTTCATCACCACTGCAGGCTGGACAGCCTTCGGGAAGACATGTGTCACTCTCCTGCTCAACAGACTCCTACATCTAGATTTGGGTACCGTCAGGGAACGAAATAGAGCTGCAAAACACCAAAGTAATTGTTTTCTTCCATTCAATTACACTGCAGAGCATGCACAGCATGGTGACAGCTAAGCAGTACGCACGTCATCAAGCCCATTTTCCAAATATGGAAGGTGTTATTTATGAAATTTGACACGGTTCCTCTTCTCTGATCGGCTCGAGACATAGCTCATCGGAATCAGTGCCCAATTCTCCTTCGGATAAGCCATACTTATTTTTGGCGTTCAGTTTCCCTTTACCCAGACACCTGCTCTCTACGTGATTTCTCTACGTTTCACCAAGAGTACATAACCAAGGTTATGTACTCTTGGTTTCACGCAGAACCTCTCTACTGTGACCAGGTAGCACGTAGGTGACGACTCCCTGCGCTAGTAACCATGGTAACCATGCCATGCATGACCAAGATGGCAAGACTGCCAAGCTGGCAAGACCTTATTAGTACCCAAGACGAGACTGGCAAGAGTAGATCTACCTGTCGTGGACAAACTACGTGGACAAACTATGCCTATGCCTATGGTCTAGATAAGATAACAATCATGTTCAGGCCAAATAATTGTTATACTGAACACGAGGCTCTTGTCCGCACACACTTTCAGTTTGCTATCCGTTATGAGCCCTCTTACTCTGGTTTCATTCCACGTAGAGTTCATAGAGCAATGTGTTATACTTATAGTACTACCACCCCGCATCATTCTATTTCCTATTTTTATTTTCCTCCTCAGCTTCTTCTTCTTCATAAGCTGTTGACGGAGACTCCCTCGATTTAGGCTAAGGCCTGTGGAGAATCCATAAATACAAAATACAAATACAAACAACCTTCCAACTAAATACTACATGTACTACTAGTAGTCATGTATAAGTAGTAGTTGTCTAACTAGTTACTAGTAGTAGTACTTGGAAGGTTCAAGGTTGGGTAGGACCAAAGAGGGGCCGGGGGAAGCTGAGCGCAGCGGAAATGTACTACTCCACCGCTGCTCCGGGACCGGTGTCCTCGGAGAGCCATAGTCATCTAAATAATTCTAATCAATACCATACTAGTGATGTAGCTTATTAATTTTACTGACCGTATACATGTAGTACTATTAGTCTGAGGAATAAAAGCCAGCGATAAAACATTAATTGCGGATGAATGGAAAATTATTTTTGCCAAATAAATCGAATTGCGATAAAAAATAATGATCAGCTGTACATGATGCATCGATGTAGCGCATAGCAGCTAGCACCAGGGAGTCGTAAAACTATTTTTTTACGACTCCCTGTGTAGCACCTACTGGTACTCCACTTTTACCGGTATGTTTACAATGGTTTATGTATCTATGTCATTCGGATCTTCCCAGTTAGTTGTACATTGTACTGTTGAGATACCGAATTCAAATAAATCAATACCAGCCCCGCTTAGTGTTGTGCCGCGCGCACTGCAGAGTGCACTGGCACGGTGCAGTGGTTTTGTCTTTGAGTCAAAGTAACAGTTGCGATTGCTGTGTACTGCTGTATCTACTGCCTACTGATCAGATTGAAGTCAGGCTGACTCACGGTGGTGTGCGTTCAACCGTGTTGATTAGCCATGTCCAGACCAGAGTGTGGGTCCTGTAGAAGTAGTGGTAAGCATGGCAAGCTGCTGAAGTGTCTGCACGCATTGTGTGTCGAGTGTTTGGAAAAGCACATCAGTAGCAAGGGCTCTGTGGGTTGTCCTGAATGTGGAACAACCACTCCACCACCACACAGAGGTGTGCCCTTGCTGCAGTACCTGCCGGACAGTGATGTGTCTAGTGATGGGCTTGGTGATGAGGTAGCTGCTGCAAGTGCGGGCCGTAAGAAGTTGTGTGATGAATGTGTTGAGGATACTGCAGCAGTGGCTGTTTGTATGGACTGTGGTGATAATCTCTGCACTGACCACGCCAAAGGACACCCAACCTCACGCAGATCATACAAACACAAGGTTGCGGCACTCGGTGAGACTGCGGGATATACAGGTGGTAGAACACCAGCCAGCCATCACAAATGCTCATTCCACCCCTCGTTTGTACAGGGTTCGTATTGCTTGAGTTGTGAGCAGCTAGTGTGCAAGCAATGTCTAAGCGGTGGTGATCATGCTGCTCACAATGTGCAGACTATCATTGATGCATCTTCTAGCATTCGTCAGTCCTTGAAAGCCAAGCTGACTAGCACGTCACATGGAGGTGGCTGTGTTTTTGAAGAGTCGATCCAGAAGTCTGAAGCTGCACTGAGTGGACTCCGTGATGAGACTGAAGGCGTATCCTCCCGGATCAATGACGTTTTTGGTGGCCTGAAGAAAGCCATTGAAAAACGTCAACAGGAGCTTCTGGATGAGGTGGATCGACTGCAGTTGTCACATCTTCTTCCCCTTGAAGACCAAAAGCAGCAGGTACTTGCTGGTGACTCGTATCGCAAGAAAGTTCAACACCTGGCAGAGAACTGCAATGAGGATGTGAACTTTTTGAAGATGAGTAGATGGCTGGAGGAAGCAGCAAAGAATGCTGTGAGTGCGTCCCAGAGAGATGTGACGGTGTTTGCACCAGAAACTCTATTGTTTTCACCATACCACGTCGAGGAGCTGACTGCAGCCATTGCCAGAACTGGTTTCGTGAGTGACAATGGTATGCTGTCATCGGAGAAGAGTACCATGACTACTGCAGCCAGTGTTGAGGAGGGAGACGACCTTACCGTGATCATTGAGCCAAAGAATGGCCACGGTGATAGTCTGGCTGTGACGGAGGCACATTTGTCTGGTGTTCACGTTGAAGTAACGTCAGTGGACAACACCACCGACACCATTCAGCCTGTGCTGATGCCAGACAGCAGTCGTAATGAAGGCACTAGCATGATTGCAACGTTCAAGACGACCGGAAAGAAGGGTTCAGTGCAGGTATCATCCATGATCGGAGATCACCATGTATCTGGAAGTCCTGCCACGGTTACCATCATGGAACCGGTTCAGTTCGATCCCAGCCAATGTCATGCTGATCTTGTACTGTCAAACAACAACCAAACGGTTACTCGTGGAGCTGCTCATAACATGGAGTGGAGGTCAGTCTGTGGCCTGAGGAAATGGTGTAGCGGCAGACACGAGATATCCATCCGCCTTGATCGCATCAATGCTGGTAGTGTTGAACACATGTTTTTCTTGTGTAATGCTCACCTTCCAAAACTAGACACATTTCGAATGGGAAAGACTGCCTTATTTGGATGGTACAGCCACAACATCCATGGCGGTGACTGGACAGGCAGTGCACTGAGTCAGCCATGGCAAGCCGGTGACGTAATCCATATGTCATTGGATTGTGACAATCACACGTTAGTTGGTCGTCATGAGCGCACCGGAGCAACCCAGGCACTGACTAACGTGACAGGTGAACTCTACCTCTACATCAGCCTGTACCACAGTGGAGACCAAGTTACTATTATTTGAAGCTTCAATCCTCTCGATTTTCAAGAGCACGGTGATGTCACTGATGTGTGTGCAGGCGCGCCGGAACCGGTCCGGTTGGTCAGGTCGTAACCAGAACAACCTTTTGGTCACCAACACATGTGTACTGCTGAGGAGGTTATCTGTGCCCGGCATATCTTACACGAAGTAAGAAAGGCTACCATGTAGCCGGACCAATCAAAAACTGCTTCCGCTGGTCCTACTTATACAGGGTACCTTGCTATCCTGTGCCTAGCATGCCCTGGTTTGAAAACCACAAAGCTCGCGATCGGTGAAGGCATGCGTCTCTCTCTCTCTCTTTCTCTCTCTCTCTCTCAGGCTCTCTCTCTCTCTCTCTCTCTCTCTCTCTCTCTCTATTCTATTTGACGATTTGTAGATGACACGATCGCCTTGCTTTCCAGTGCCAGTGGTTTGAAAACCATGAATCTTCTGATCAAAGGCATACGTCATTTCTCTCTACTTTCAAGTTCTTGCATCTGCCTGGTTCTGCCGGTACATATGGCCTATGACAGTATGAGTTAAAGAACTTTCAAAGAAAAATGTAATATCTCTCAAGTTGTTTACTTACACCCCTGATCCCACTAGTTAATGTAGTGTCCATTTGGTGTTTGTCTTTACACAGTGTGTGTTTTAGTTCCTCTTGTCTCACTTCTCACCTTCTCTTTCCCTTCTTATTATCTCCCCTTGTGCATAAATCCTTCATTAAATGTATCACCTAGTTGTAATGGTTGCCACCCTTGTGATGCTACTTATCCTCAGTTTCATTGGTTCTGGTTGCTTGGATTTCATTTGAAGAGAATGCCCGAAACCTGGTTCATGAATTTCAGAATCCTTATTGCTGATGACGGTGAAGAATAGCTTGAGATTTGTAGTTTTTCTTTCCCTGCCAGTATGAGCATGATAATACTATGATTATCATGTCATGACTGTCACTGTCCCCATGACATGTGCAGTCTGCACACGGTCGTAGTCGCACTCAAAGAACGTAGGACATCCTTGCTAGGCCTTGACGGATTATGCTAGCATAATTTTTCGCATAATTCCTACCAAAATCGAATCATCGCATAATTCGAGGCAAATTGCATACGAATCGCGTAAAATTGTAATAATCCGCCTGTTCGCATCAAATTCCATACAGTTGTACATGTTCTACAAGTACAAGTACAAATAGATGCACCAGGAAGTCGTAGGTTTACGACTCCCTTGATAACATGTCCAGTCCACTACAATCAGTGATGGTCGTAGCTAGGTCGGACAGTGCGTTGACCCCGTTGAACTTTTGCTACTACAGTACAACGCCCTCTACAAAAAAATTCCCCTGTTATTTTGCACAGAACCATTATGCATTAGCAGCATATGTGAGCATAATGCGGCACAATATGATAACTTTTAGCATAAAAATAGCATAATTCTGCAATTTTTTCAGCAATGCGAAAAGCATAATTTCACGAAAATATTAGCATAATCCGTCAAGGCCTAATCCTTGCCATGCTTCATACTCATGCTCATAGATGTCGACCACATGCCCTAGAAGTTATTACTGGATCCTGTGCACACGCACGTGATTGCCAGCAGTGCACAACTACCCTACATGTAGAATGATAACAAGTAGGAATCATTTAGGAGAGATAAATAGCGCACTGAATCGGCAGAGCAAGCACAATGAGAAAAGAGTCGTGAAGCACTTGGCTGGGTTACCATGGTGACAGCTTACGCGATATATGGACCATGTGGACAAGTGCGCAAAAACAGGCACTACTCGTAAAGTCGGGAAATGGCAGTATAATAAAGTCACGAACAAAGACGTTTGTCGGCGTTCTTAGCATTCTTCCTTGCATTTCTTTTGAAAACGTAGCCAAAAACAAACCCATGCGGTGGAATCCTCCCATCGTAATTTCAAGGCCATTCAAACTCAATAGCAGCTAGCAGAAATTCATTAGAACTCCTATCCCAGCTCCACAAGTCACACTTTGTTCAATTTGGATGCCTGTTCTGCTTTCCATGCTTCTCTCCACTCCGCATAGCTAGCAGCTCCCATGACTGGCTGGCAGACATCTCGCCACCTCTGGTCAATGGCGGCTTTAGTCATGTCGCTCAGCAAATGTTGTTGCCCCCCACCAACCCGCACTTTGCCCTGACCAGCACCGGCTTCAGGCTCCAGTCCCATCACTTCATTCCGCATTCGCTTCGTTGGCCTTTCGTTGAAGTGCACCTGGTGTTCCTTCATGAACGCAAACGTTGACTTGTGAACGGCCTGCGCAATGACGGCCGGGTCGGTGATGTCCATGAAGGCAGCCACGCGCTCCACTTGCGCCTGCAAGTCTTCTTTCATGTCCTCAAAGAACACCCACAGGACATCGGGATCAGCATGGCGTGGCCACCAGGATGCCATGTGGTGGAATGCACTACAGATACCTCCTTTTTGCTGATCTGGCTCTCCCAGCTTCAGGAAGAAGAAGTTTGTCATTGTATCCGGGGAAATGTCGCCTACTTTGAACGTCCAACCTTCCATGAACTTGAAGAATGATACCGCAAGATCATAAGGGTGTCGAACCACAATGATGTAGCGACCACCCTTCGCCACGAGTGGTTCCCAAACATGTGTTTTGAACACGCTTGGCTTGAAGCGCTGCTCGTCGTCCAGGTTGATTCCCAAATCGTGCGCCATCTCCACGAACGGAATCACCATGCTGATGTCCTCGAAGTCCATGTCACCACCACCGCTCCGGAGCTGATGGCAAATCTGCTGCATCCATGTGGTGCCTGCCTTGGGGGCTGTGGATATGAAGATATCGCTCGGCTCCGCTGCTCCTTTGCTCATAAATTTCGCACCTACTTCGCGACTTTCAGGAGAATTTACTTTGCGAACTTTGTCTCCGAACTTGGCAAATTCAGCCAGCTCCTTCTGCAGTTGTGGATCCATGGTGGACACAATACGTTGAAGTGATCAATGACTGCGACAAGCAACGAAGGCTACAGGTCTGTTGGTCGTACTCGATACAGCTAAGCAACTGATCCCCTCACGTGCAATCCGAATCGCCCTCCGGCTCACTAGCACACTGGATGCTCCGGCTCAACGTTCTCTTTCCCTTTTTTCTATGCAATGCTCTGTTCACACAGATCTGCCCAAAGCCTTGCCAAAGCTTCGAACTACAGAGTACAGTACAACAGTTACTGCGTGTGCTCAGCGCCAAGCGTAGATCTACGCCCACATGCGACAGCCCCAATATGCCAATGCAATAATGCCAATGGATCTGTCAATCAGAGCTGTCATCTACACGCTGTAGGTTCGAGATAGAGATCAACAGCCGCATGCGATGTATAAAAGCTGTGTGCCCCCCCCCCCCCCTCTCTCTCTGTCTGTCTGTCTGTCTTCCTCTCCTAGGCGTCCCTCTATCTATCTACATGACATTGTACACCTTAGACAAGAACAAGACTTCTTAGTGCTTGTTGCGATGTCCATGAAACTATTACCTGAAACCGCACAGCATCTGCACAGCCATGTCATCCTGTGTACCCTCCCCCCCCCCCCCCACCACCACCATTTGTATTTTCATGGATTCTAGACAGATATCTACTAGCCTATATGTATACCAAAGAAGTCTGGCTTTGTTGTCTCTGCTCACTCCTGCTTCATATTCTTCACAATTCATTTGAAAGGACTCGGAAAGAGAGCGAAGGATAAATTTATAGAAAACAAAAAGGACCAAGGAACTACAAGCAGCGCTATGATGTCCACTACCACCACAATTTACTAAACAATCAGCCCATACGATAACATTGCACGACACTGACCCACGGTACTGACGTCCTACAACTAACTGGCTAGCAGAGCAGCTCTAGTGCATCTTGGATGCGCATTCCAAAAGCCTTTCAACTTTAGCAGTAACTCAAAACCTTCCAAGTAACTTAGTTATATGATAAGTTTGACACAAGGGAATGGTCTCAAACTGCGGAGAGTGCTCAATGCAAGCGAGGCAGAGCTTCATCACACACAAGCGGAAAAACCGTCAGAGATCGAATTCCATTACACAGTGTTTCACCGGTCAAGCAACGGATCATCAGATGGATGATCAAACAAAGTATGATACACTGGTTATATACTCAGAAGGTGTGAACTCCGTCATTATGGAGTGTGAAAATTATCATTATGTCGGGTCCCGGATGTGACAAGTCCATTTTTCATGATGCATTGTACTGAGTGCCTAGGTGCTAGATGAGGGTAATGATATTGCGGGGTGTGACCAGCCCATTTTTCATGATGCATTGCACAGAGTGCCTATAGTCCGTGAGCCAAAACTCAAAATCACAAGTGCCGTTGCACTCTCGGATGGACAAATCGCCGCTTACAGTGTTGGTCAAGGACATCACAAAGGATACGTTTTCGCTTGTTGGACGTTCCAGAACCGATCCAGAGACCTTCGCGAGGGCTTCTTTTCTCGACCAAATTCCACCGTGAGAACGAATATTTTTACGCGAGTGGTGAGGTGTGCGTCGTATGAGCAAGCGCAAAACACGAGTTCGCGTAGAGTGAGGAAAAATAATTTATTTTTAGAAGATGACGACGTTGACGACAATATCGACTTGGGATATTGTGATCACTTTATTGAAGTTTATTCCTTTCGTGTACATTGATGTTGTTTTGACAACAATGGAAGAAGAGGAAGACGTTTCTAGTGGCAGCGAGGTGCTGGATGAGGCAGCTGACGGCAACGAAGTGGCAAATGACAGCCCAGCGGAGTAATATTGCTAGAATTTTGTGTCTGTGTCACAGCGCCCAATTTAGTAAAAACGAGAAGCCTGCAGTGAGTAATATCGAGACTACAAGTTGGTGTCGCATCGTCAGCGCTGCTCGAGAGAAGGACGACCATATCTGGGCTTTTCTCTGCCAGCACAAGAGATCAGGGAGGAGTAAATGGTGTGGCTGGTATCATGAAAAGTGCTACACCAATTGCACCCATGTGATAGCAATTGCAAACCTGGAGAAGACCAGTGCCTCTGATTTTGCTTTGTCTATACTTGCTGACAGTGATGTGCATGTAGTAGTGAACCCAGAGCCACATCCTAAGGCCAGTAAGGGGCCACCTACCAGGAGCTTAGTGGTTGATACGAACAACGAATGCCATACCGGTGAAAGCAGAGCACGGTGTAAACACAACACGGAGAACTGGTCCACCCAGAGTTTCCGGAAGGGAATGTTTTGTTGCAGGCAGCAATGGAGAGGGCAAGACGACAAGTAGCGAGGGCGAAACCAGCGCTGCTGGAGGTCCAAGCCAGAGCACCTGGCTGCTTTGCGGGCAACATACTACTGTATACCATTAGCTGTGTATGTGTGTGTGCGCGCGCGTGTTTGTGTGTGTGGGCGCGTGCATGTGTGTGTGTGCGCGTGCGTGTGCATGCGCGTGCATGTGTGTGTGCGCGAGCATGCATATGTGTGTGCGAGTGTGCATGTGTGTGCGAGCGTGCATGTGTGCGCGCGCGCACGTGCATGTGCGTGCTAGGCGTTTTCCTTTGTTGGTGACACCACCCCAGGCTACTACTGGTGTTGGGGCACGGTGTTGCCACAGCCACTGCGGCCAGTGCGATCCGTGTTTCAGGTCGTTGGTGGGTTTTAGATTCCGCAATTGTCGACAAGGTGTGCGCCGTGTGTGTGTGTGTGTGTGTGTGTGTGTGAAACCCGACAGCATTGGTGTGATGTTGTCCGAAGGGACATCCATCACTTACATCTTGAAGGATATTGGTTCGACACTGCACAGCAGCGAGGAGAGTGGCGCACAGCATTCAGAATTGCTTCACCACCACAGCCGGCCTCCCGTGATCGGATTCAGTGTAGTATTTGTAACATTTCCTTTTCGAAGAGCGGCCTGCCATGCCACAAGTGTACTCAAGAGCGTCGCAAACCTGTAGCAGACCAGTCTGGCAGCAGCCAATGCACTGTATGTCTTCGCTGGTTTCACAGTCATGGCAGACTGACATAGTCGGATTCGGCAGCTGGTTCATGTGTGTGTGTGCGCACGCACGCGCGTGCCCGGGAGACTGCATAGTCGCATTCGGCAGCAGGTTCATGTGTGTGTGCGGGCACACACGCGTGCGCATAAGCGTGTTTGTGCGCACGTGCCTGGGAGACTGCATAGTCGGATTCGGCAGCTGGTTCATGTGTGTGTGTGCGCACGCGCGCGCGTGTTTGTGTGGATTCGGCAGCTGGTTCATGTGTGTGTGTGCGAGCGTGCATGCCTGGGAGACTGTATAGTTGGATTCGGCAGCTGGTTCGTGTGTGTGCGCGTGCCTGGGAGACTGCATAGTCGGATTATTCAGCTGCTTCAAGTGTGTGTGTGTGTGTGTGTGTGTGTGTGTGCGCACGCGTGTGGGTGCGCCGCAGCATGCATGCATGTATGTATGTGACATCATGTTATATTGGTAGTTATCTGTGGATTACTATGTTCTGCGGTGGACTGCGACAGCACACATTATGTGCCAAGATGTGCACCTGGTGATTTGCAACTGTGTTATGTTGAGTTGAAAATGAGCAATGACAGATAGCTTTTGGTGCTGTATGAGTGTGTTAGGAAATCAATAGCCAATTCCAACCTCTTGCATTGGCCGTCAGGTTGGATAGGATCAGCGCGTGCATTTACAACAGTGTGGTGACGTACTTCCTATTGTACTACTGTAATGTCACATTAGCTTCAGTGTTCATATAATAATAATACTGGAGTATTCTACGTATTCACTACTATTCAGTAATCGAGTGGTTATTACTTTTGAAATATACTTCACTCACCAATTCATTGCTATTATCTACAAGTTCCAGTCCAGTATGATGAAGTAAAGAGGCGATTTATCCAGCCAAGTAGAGGAACTTGGGATACGAAATCCAAGAGAAATCATGAGGGTTTTCTCAGTTCGGCCATTCACGAATGTAATTGTTATTCTTCAACGCAAACTGAGTAATATTTGACCTTGAACAGGATGAAAAGAAGTTCATGCTCGGGGCAGTCGTCATTTGCTCCAGAAGGTTACTCACTACAGTCTACGCCTATTGGCCTAGGAAGTCGTGAACAAATATGTCGAGAGATATTTAGGACACTCTTGGAAGTCAGTTCTGAACGATTGCATTGTAACTACAAACAGTAGTGACTTTGCTGCATGCAGTTTGCATCCCGATTCATAATTCTCAGCGGCAAAAAAATTCGAATCTAGTTTTGTGCACTGGTTTCCGCGTTATGTGCACTCGTGGTATCTGCTCATGGCTTCAAAAAATGAGAATCCGTGAACAAGCGCAAAAATATCAAGCGAAGAAGGCGAAAATGGCCGCTGCTGTCAGTGAGCAAAGTTGGATGTTTGGCGTCTTCTGTGACCTCCCTGGATCAGTTTCGAACTGTCCAACAAGTGGAAATCGCTTCAGGATACCATCGTGAAGCGGTGTGCCGAAGGACGATTTGTCCCTCTCTGGGTGCAACGGTCGATGCTAAAACAGCCGATTCTGAGATTTGGCTCACGAACTACTAGGGAAAGGTGATGGCGCAGAGTGGTGCACTGCCAGGTAACAGATATACAGTGGTGGCCAAAAGTTTTGACCCACCCCATGGAATCGTCAGTACAGCTCAGCCTGGCTCCTAAACACGCCGTTTTTTACTTCTTTGAGGCCAAAGCCGATTGAAACTTGGCAAGGACACTAAAATTTGCAAGAATCCGTTGTCAACTGAGATTTGTGATGGATCACCATACATTTGGGTGGGTCAAAACTTATGGCCACGTGACCAAATTTTGCTCTACCGTACCGTACGGTTTCAAAAAAGTTGTCAGGCTGATGCACGTGCCGGGAAAGTTGAAAATCAACACTTGACTTCTCACTTTGAGAGTTTGCGATATCAAACTTGATTATTTTGACGACGGAGATGGTATTTTCAGCCAGGATAGTGAACCGAGGTCAGATTAGCAAGGATGTGAGGGAAATGGTCGTGAAGCTGAGTGTTGACGGTCTCTTTTGGCGTGGTATCGCTCCTCTGTTGGATTTGAGTAATCCTACGATACGTAGAATTGTCAGGAAACAAAAATTGACTACATTTTCACCTCGATCAGACCGACCAAGAGAGATCAGTGCAAGACAAGATCGCCACCAT